TGACCGGGCAATATTTGGCTATACGTGTACAGCTAAATAGTGTAGACTATAATCTGCTAATTAGTATGCATTCTTAACATAGATCTTTATTCTAGATTTTAAATTATTAAAAAATAGCTTATTTTAATATTATAAATAAAGATTAAAGTATTATAATCTAAGCACTAATCTGAGAAGTACTATAAATTTCAGCGCTAAGCTTCAGGCTAAAGCTCTATGCCAAATTTCTGTGCAGTTAAGGATCCTGTATTTCTACCCATTAAAACTTCAACTACTAATAACTCCACTATCACAGATTAGAATCAACTCCAAAATGGCTACAGAGCTCCCCCGTCGCCGGCGCGCTGCTGCAGACAGCGTTTGCTCAAATCCTTCCTCTCCCCAGGCCCCCAGGGCCCCTCAAACTATTCTTGATACTCTGCGGCGTACGAAGCTCCTTGCTAACGCACGTGCGTACGCAGGCAAAATGCCTTAGAAAGAGCTATTCAAGATATACAATATAGCTGAGAGAACAGGCTACAAGATCCTAAAGCAAGGAACTATGCGCTGTGGCCCTGGCGTTTATAATAGGGGTTGAAAGCGAATTTTAGAGGATTATTAATGTGCAGCAATCAAAGCTGTTAAAGATGCGAATTTCTCCTTTGCTGCTTTAAGTTATTATAGAATAGCAAAGGACATTGATCTAGCAAATAGATCTAAGCGTACTATTTAAAGAAATATGGCTGATTCTAGTATAGGAACCTATTGTGTATTGCAGAAGAAATAGCTGCTAGCACACTTAGTTAAAGCACGTAATCTCTAGGCATTTAAGCACTACTATTATAACTAAGAAGACTTTAAAAAGTATTATTAATATAATAAGTTATATTTTGCTATTAGTCTTTAATAACAGGCCCTTATTTATTATCACTATAGCTAAAAAAATAAAGAAAAGCTCTTAAAAACCTAATATAAACTTAAACATAAAAACTAGATTATTTATATTTATATAATTATTAGTTAGAACTTTAAGGGCACTCTCTACTTTTATACAGGCACAGGGAAAGGCGGGCAGCTTATCTAAGCTAATTATATCAAGATTTTAAAGGAAGTTATTACTCTAGAATAAGATGAAAATCTCATTCTGATTAAAGATAATAATAGACTATATAGCACAAAGGGTGTTGCTAATAATAAAGTTAAGCACGTAAAGAACAAGCTTAATATTAACTGGCAAGCTCAGCCTTCTAATTCGCCAGATCTCAACCCTATTAAGATCATCTGGCGCATTATTAAGCAGCGTTTAAAGAATCAGGGGATGATCTTTCAAACTAAGGTGCTGAAGGTGGCTATCCAGGAGGAATGGGATAAAATCACCCTGGAGGAGATTAATAATGCTATCTCTATCATGCCAGATAGAGTAACTTGTTTGCAAGAGCGTTTTGGGAAGGCTATACCCTATTAGAGGGAGTAGAGTAGAAATGCAGAATCCTTAACTGCACAGAATTTTGGCACGGAGCTTCAGGCCTGGAGCTAGGGGCCAAAATTCTTGACAGTTCTCGCTAACACCACTATTTCTACATACATCTATTCAATAAGGGATAGGGAGCCCATTTCGCTCTCTCAAGGCAGTTACTCGATCTGGCATCGTACTAATTGCCTTATTGATCTCCTTGAGAGTAATTTTATCCCATTCCTCCTCAATAGCCTTGCGTAGTGCTTCTATATCGAAGATTGGCCCTCGGTTCTTCAACCTCTGCTTTATTATCCTCCAAATCGACTTAATTGGATTCAAATCAGGCGAATCTAGAGGATTGGATTCCTAATTAATGCCTAAACGTTTCTTTACTTGTTTGTATTTGTTCTCAGCATCGCCGCGGGTACTATGGGCGTTATCGTTGTCCTCCAAAAGTACTCAACTAGGATCTTAATCAGGAGCAACAACTTCCTCCAAAATAGTAACATAATCAACTTGCGTAAGTCTCCACTCTACTCCTGAGCCAGTATAGAAGTGTAGCTTGCTTTTGAAATCCCATCCAATATACGCAAAAATGTGCCATACTTGATTTCAGCGTTTGAATTGAAATTGAATCTTTTTGGGTGCATTTCGTGTATCTGTGCCACGACAACAATGAATTCGAGCTTGTCGTTATAGGGCACAAGCGAAGTGTGATTCATCGCTATATTTATAGCGTTTGAAGTCGTCTAAATGCCAATATCGACGGTCAAATGCCCAAATTCCGCGTTTTTCAATTGACTTAGAATAACTAAATTTTTTCTGTTGCGTTATGAAGGTCCCCACGCCCTGCTCAGCTATATTTCTTCGAATTGCTCGTTCAGATCCATTATCTAAGCTAATAGCTCTTGCAATAGCATAATAAGAGGTAGCTGCAGATTAAAATGAGGCATTTTCAACTGTTTCAATAGCATCACATTAATAAGGAGCAAAAACTCGCTTTCGACCTTGATTATGTATGCGTTCGCTGCGGCGCGTTGATTTCGGCTTGAGTATTCGATAGCTAGTAGATTCAGAAACTCTATGTGCTTTGAATAACTCCTTACGAGGTAGTTTGCCAGCGGTAGACTCTGCGGCGCAAATAAGGCGCGTTCTTCGAGGGGTATCCACAATTTTTTGTGGTCGTCGTGGCGACGTAGGGGTAATCGAAACTGACGAATTAACCTGTCGACAGGTTCTTCGGGTGGTTTTGTTTATTTTGGCTATTTTGTAGTCAAATAGGAGTTGATTTGGTGGAGTTAAGAGCGTTCAAAGATAGGGGGGGTTGTTGAGGAGGGTGAGAACTGTCAAGAATTTTGGCCCTTAGCTCCGGCCCTCTAAGGGCTCTACCTATTGGGCCGAAGCTTGGCGCCAAAATTCTGTGCAGTTAAGGATTCTGCATTTCTATCTACTCCCTCTAATAGGGTATGGCCTTCCCAAAACGCTCTTGCAAACAAGTTACTCTATCTGGCATGGTAGAGATAGCATTGTTGATCTCCTTAATGCTAATTTTATCCCATTCCTCCTGGATAGCAGCCTTCAGCGCCTCAGTTTGGAAGATGACCCCCCTATTCTTCAAACGCTGCTTGATAATGCGCTAAATGGTCTCAATAGGGTTGAGATCTGGCGAATTAGAAGGCTGAGCTTGCCACTTGATGTTAAGCTTGATCTTGGCTTGCTTAGCCTTGTTATTAGCCTTGCCCTTCGTACCATGTGGTCCATCGTTATCTTTGATCAAAATAAGATTTTTATCCTATTCTGGAGCAACAACCTCCTCTAAAATCTTCACATAATCAGCTTAGATAAGCCTTCCGCCTTTCCCTGTGCCTGTATAGAAGTGGAGGGTACCCTTGAAGTTCCTACTGATAGTTGTAAAGACATAGATAGTCTGGTTTTTGCGCTTGAGTTTGTATTAGGTTTTTGAGAGCTTTTCTTGATTCTCCTGGCCACAGTGACAATGAACTAAGGCCTGCTATTAAAGGCCAGTAGCAAAATAAGACTCATCACACCACTAATACTTTTTAAAGTCTTCTAAGTTATAATAGCGGTGTTCAAATGCCCAAAGATTGTGTACTTCAATCGAATGCTCTAGGAGCCATTTCTTCTGCAATGCACGGTATGTTCCTATACCAAAATCTGCTATATTTCTTTAAATAGCACGTTCAGATCCTGTTGCTAGACCAATATCCCTTGCTACCCTATAGTGACTTGAAGAAGCAAAGAAGAAATTAGCATCTTCTACTGCTTCAATTGCTGCGCATTGATGATCTTCCAAAATTCGCTTTCGACCTCTATTATGAACGCCAGGGCCACGGCGCATAGTTCATTGCTTTAGGATCTTATAGCCAGTTCTCTGGGCTACATTATATATCTTAAATAGCTCTTTCCGAGGCATTTTGCCTGCGTAAGCTCGTGCATCAGCAAGGAGCTTCGTACGCCGCGGAGTGTCAAGAATAGTTTGGGGGGCTCTGGGGGCCTGAGGAGACGGAGGATTCGAGCATACGCTGTTCGCAGGGGCGCGCCGGCGACGGGGGATCTCTGTGGCCATTTTGAGCTATTTCTGTTCAAAGATGGTGGAATAATAAGTAGTAGAAGGCAAGGGGTATAAAGGAGGAGGATCCTTAACTGCACAGAATTTTGGCGCCAAGCTTCGGGCCACGGCTAGTGCCTCCATCCTCCTGGGTTTCCGATTCTCCTTTTGGATCCTTAGCGTAATCTTCCAACTTTGAATCTTTACCTCCTTTTGTGGATGTTACTAGCATCCTTTTCATAACGCCACAACCTTACTTTCATCTCCTCAACTTGCGACTTCAAGTTAGCAATGCCTTGCGCAGCTTTCCGCTCGGGATAGCCTTCCGGCATCTCATTTTGTGGTTGGGGTTTGTAGGCAGCAGGCCCATGACCATAGATTGCTGTGATCCTCCCCTGGTCGAGGTCCGGGTACCTCAGATCATCTTCGCCTCTTCTTTCTCGAGGTGGGTGCGATCAGTGAGATCTGGCCCTACATGGTCTTGAAGGTTTCCGTGCTGACCGTAGGCATTTCAAATCGGATTCTTCGCGAGTTCTTTTGAGAAGCGAGCCTCGAACACTTTAATCATGGCTGTTTTAGATTTGTTCTCTTCGATTTCCTCCACTGTGCTGCAATGATGTTTATAGAAACCAATTTTCAAGGATTCATCCCACGTAAGACGTCTTTCATTAACCCCAAGCTCAAATTCCAGTTCGCCGAGATGCGTGTCCAAGCTATTATTATGATTGACCAATTCTGTCATTCCAGCCTCGGCGTTCTCGACCTTCGCTTGGAGTGTTGTTAACGTGACCTCCCTCGCCTGCCCGATGACGCCTGGAGCATACTTGTCGAGCTGAGCTACTGCAGTACGCTGCCAGCAATCAACACACTGCTTGCGTTCTGCAAGGTCAGCTCTGACCTTCTCCAGCTCCGCTTTCCGGCGCCCTTCAGCTTCATGATCATGGACAAGGCAGACTTTGGCTTCTCCGAGCTGACATTCCAGCTTCTTGTTCTCCATGCCTAGCTCACCTCGCTTAGTATCAGCGCCAATGACGTGGTTGTTCAGACTTTGAACCAGCCTTGGTGTCGCAACAAGATGACTTACATCGTTGAGCTCAATATGTCTTTGATTGAGAATGTGCTTCAGGTGAACAGATGCCACCATCGTGATCAGGATCTTGATTTACTCATCTTTCGAAGCACTGGACTGCCGACTGTCTGCAAACAGCCGCCTAGACACTTCTCGGCTCAGTTCGTATCGAGTTTCAAGTCCTCCAGAATTTTTGGCCGATGTAGCAGCACATTCGTTGGCTTCCTTGGGCATTTGCTGCGAAAGCTCAAGAGTCCTGCTTCTTCGTCAAAGGTGTTTCTTGATCCAAGCTTCTCTTTGGGCTTCTCGCAATGCAGATTCAATCTTTTCCCTTTTGCATCCGAGCTCCTAGAAATGTACCTGGACATTTTTAAGCTCAGCTAGCAAACGGTGATGCCTCGGTATGATTGCCTTGACCAAGTCCTTCCATTGAGCTGGACTTAGACCCGTTCCTTTCTTGTATGAAACTGCAAAGTGATCAATACCCTCTGCAATGCAGTCCGCGTTGCTAGAATCGAGCTCTTTCTGTACATAAAGGACTCTCTAGATCCCGCCTCCGAAGCCTGATAGAGCTCTATTTGAAGTTAGCCAATCTTCCGTTGTAAAGCCTTCTTGTTTATATGCAAAGAAGTGAGTTGGCATCTCTGGAACCCTTCGCGGTCTTACCCTTCCTGCGTTCCTCTGCAAGAGCCTCCTGAGCCCGACGAAATTTGTAATAAAGTGAGGAGTTCCTTAAACTCAGACGATTGTTTTCCGCACTTAATTCGCCGATCTCTCTCTCGTTCACCTGCCTGGTGGGCTCTTTATTCTCCTCGAATAATTCAATCTTCGCTTCCAACTCCTGATTCTCTTGCTGCAGCTGAAGGATTTTAAGCTGTAGCCGCGACACCCAACCACTCGGCGACTTGCGATGCTCATGCAATTTGGAGGCCGTCTGTGGCGAAGCGTGATCAGCGTTATCTGAGGTTCCAGTACGACCAACGTAATCGGGTTTGGTCAGGCTTAGACATTCGCTTTCAACCATCCAGAGCTCAATCTCTTGGTTGGAGCTGGCTAGCTCGTCCCCAAACTCGTTTTCACAGTTCTTGCTGATAGAGACTACTTTTCTATCAGCCTGAGAATCGCCTGTATCGGCATAGATACCAGCAAGGTCAAGAAGGGCTTGCTGCGCACCGGCTGCTCTAGGCACATCATATGTTGCCTGGCGAGCAGCGCGGACGTCCTTTTTGAGGATATCAGAAATTGAAGTGTCATTCTGTTAACCTATCAGCGTATGGGGAGGAAAGCGGATGTGAGAGGGTAGCTCTTACATCTGATTCAGGGGAAGACAGGGTCTGATCAGCAGGGTCGAGCAGCACACTGCCATCATTGTTTTCACCGCATGAGCTTCTACTTGGATAAATGATGATGTTATGGGGCTTTGATACTGCCGCGGGCCCCATAGAAGGACCAGGTTCATTCGTTTCATCAGTGGAGGGGCGAAGAGAGGCTGATTGTGGTGTTGCGGTGACAGAAGCAGTAGTTGACCCATATTTAACGTCAGTGAAAGGACATTGAGGTACCAGCATTTCCTGCGAGTCGTCCTGAAGGTTGTAAGTAATTGTGATTGAACTTCTAACATGGATGTGGCTGTCGTTGGCAGGGAATGGCAACAGTTGGAAACTTTCCGGAGGTATATGTTCGACCTGTCGCTTCATTAGCCTGTCTCCCTGCCCGACTGAAAACGCCCTGAGCCTACCTGGCTACCTTCACTCGGAGATGAGGAAGGCGTGCTCGATTGCCGTACTTCGTGGTGGCTAAATGTTAGGCCGAGGTCTGCTCCAATATCATCCACCATGGGCAAGCATTGGGAGATATCGAATTCACTGGCAGCTTCATCCTTGCCAACAAGCTGAGGAGTGGTTGTTCTGGAGTGCAGGCTGGCCTTCAAGGTGTGGACCCGTGTTTTGCATGATTCCTTGAGTTTTTGAAGACTGGAGAGAGCCGATTGCTTGTTGGCCGAGAACGCATGGGATGGAGCGTGGGAAGATTTCTTGAACAGCTTGGTGGAAAAGAAAGCACGAGGCATCTTTTTATCTAGCGAAAGGTCTGGTGGGCGAAGGGTATCGATTTTCAGTGAAGAGGACGATCACGAAGACCAAGCTGTAGAAAGTAAACGGCTATCACGGAAGAAAAGCCTCATGGACAGGCTCACAAATAATAGATGTTTCTCAAGAGGCAAGCAGACAAGCAAATACAGAAATTGATCCCGCCAGTAAGCCCCGCTAGGCGACAAGTTTTCGTGGGTCACCAAGGACGAACACTTCTGAAGATACATGTGGTCTGTGTAAAATACCATACAGCGCAAGGCGTGGATGATGACTTGCAAGTATAAACTCGGAATAGACAGGCAGAGGACATAGAGAAATGTTTACGAATATAAGAAAATTGTAGAAGCGCGTCATGTTCGACGTGAAGATATACATATTAGCCTGGCAAAGTTCGATGTGGAAACTAGGAGGAGCTGGCCTGTAAAAGAGGTGTCGCTCTTCACCAGGTTTGCCATGGCCGCGCTATTCCTCCGTGGCAGCGTAAGGATGCCTGCTTTGCTTGATAACCATGCTGCTTGTTCTCGTTTGCTGACCCGGATCTGAACGGCTTATAGACATGTACTAGGACAAACCAACTCTTCACAATTGGTCTGCTTACTCTACCACAGCTGTCAGTAGTTCGTTGGCACGAGATGATACCTCCTTCAGAAGACGCGGCTCTATATCTATTTGACTCCCAGAAGGTCAAGAGGGGAGAACCAAAGGGAATCGTGAAGGTTTAGATAATTCCACGTCACGCAAGACATGCAGGGAGTCTGATTGTGTTTTGCTGCTTCGCCTTTCTTGCTGTAAATATCAATTGCATCTCGTGGTATTCAGGAGTTCAGGGCTGCGACATCAACTGGCTTTTGCAGCTATCACACTTTGACTCGACTGTAACTCTTCTGCCATGTTTGCGAAGTAGAAAGTCTGCTCAAAGCGAGTGCAATCGTAGAACACAAAGCTCATAGACCGCTGTGAGCTGCGGCTGGAAAAGAGATATGTGACTTCGCTTATTTCAAGCAAATATGACAGTGAAGCCAATGATGCGAATTCAAGCAATGTGCGAACTACGGGATGTAGATGCAATTCATAGGCTCACAACAGGTAGGAAAGAAGGACTCGTCAGCAATAGTTGCAGCTTAGTTTCAGCGGGTCGAGAAAATACATAAATATCTTAGAGAGACGTTCGATGGTTGAAGTAAAGTTGAAAGTCTGGAAAATCCGGCTGCGGGAGAAATTTGGCCGGACGCCCTCCACTTCGTGAAGATCTTCATCCAAGACTGTCACTCGTGTCAACATCTACCTGCCAGACATGGCAATACGAAAACTCTGGGTGCGGAGGGGAAATGCGTCCGCAACACAAGTGGCTGTCAGTCCAGACGACTTGGTCGACGATGTGCGAGATGCTGTCATTCGGAAGTACCTCAATTCTATCGGACGAACGTTCGATGCTCCTGATGTCTCGCTCAGGATTTGCCCGAGAGAGCAGACCAACAAAGCTGGAAACGAAAGGACTCTTGCGCCCGACGAACCCATTGTCCGGCTGATCGATGCATACTATCCCGGAGGACAGAAGGTCGAGGAAGCTCTCATAATTGACGTTCCGCAAAGACGAACCCCTAAGCCTTCGCCACGATCAGGACCTCACTTGCAGTCTTATTACATATCCGAAGAGATAAGACCGGGAGATGCTGGTGATTACTTCCCCCCTATGCCAGCTCTACAGTCTCCCCACGCCAATGCACATGGCACGCTTCCCACCTCGCATTCGGCCAACAACCATCTCCATTCCATGGCAGTCCTTACAACAGGCCAGTTACCTCCTCTTCCTTCACCCGGTGGCCGGTCCAATAGACATCGTCCCAAAGCTGGTCGACAAAATACATCACCACCTACGATTTTACACTCCGCACAAATCAGCAACAACCACTTGGGTAGGCATGAAGCTGGTGCACAATTGTCACCTGCTAACCATCCTCAACATGCAGACCACAACCAGCCGCTCAATGGCACAATACCCTCTCCTGCTCCACCACTTCCCACTCCTCCTGCACAAAACAGCGACTCACGTAACTCCACCACTCCTCCCGCCCGCGTCGCCTCTCCTCCGCCCATTCCGAGACAGAGAAGTGGCCGACGAAAAGGGCTAACCAACAGCATGGATCGAAACGGCGCCGCAAGACACCACAGCAACATGGGTCATGTTCCACCGACCGCACCAGCATCAGCTGGCCTCCTTGATACCTCAGTTCCTCCCATCAACGTCCTCATAGTTGAAGATAACGTCATCAATCTGAAACTTCTTGAAGCTTTTATGAAAAGACTAAAAGTTCGTTGGAAGACGGCCATGAATGGCAAAGAGGCTGTCGCCGTGTGGCGGACTGGTGGCTTCCATCTGGTGTTAATGGACATCCAATTGCCCGTCATGAATGGTCTTGAGGCTACAAAGGAGATAAGGAGATTAGAGGCCCTGAACAAGATAGGTGTCTTGAGTGGAAGCCCGCCGGACGGCCTGCGCGAATCATGCCTAAATGGTGACGGCGTTGATGGTGACCTCGCAGACGAGGAGATGAAGAGTGAAGACCGGCTCCAAGACCGAGAAGCAATGTTCAAATCCCCTGTCATCATCGTCGCCTTGACAGCTTCATCATTACAAAGTGATCGTCATGAAGCGCTAGCAGCAGGCTGCAACGACTTTTTGACCAAGGTATGTTTTCTGTCTCAACTCGAGGACACAATCGTTCCCTTTGTGTCTTACATTGACTCACCCATATACAGCCCGTCAATTTTGTCTGGATGGAACGCAAAGTCACCGAATGGGGCTGCATGCAAGCCCTGATCGACTTCGACGGCTGGCGTAAATGGAAAGGCTTGGCCGCCCAAGAAGAGGCAAACCAAACATCGAAGAAGGGTGAGAGCAAAGCAGACCAGAAAGCTGCGCTTAAAGCCATGTTTAGCCAACCACCGAAGACTAGAAAGGAGAGGGAGAAGGAGAAGGAAAAGGAGCTGAAGGAGAGAGAAAATGCGCAGGTTGGTGGACCGGTTGGTGGTGCGACTGCTGCTTCCACGGGAGGGAAGCCGAAGAGCCCGACGAATGTTAGGAGAGCGACTGGTAAGACCAACATCATAGAAGTGAATGGCAATGGATATGATGGGAAGAATGACTCCAGCACGAGTGGAATAGCTGTGATGCCGGAGAAGAAGTAACAGGAGCTGCTGCTGCCATTCTTCGCATTTTTTTCCAGGATTTCTAAGCTTGCTTTCCTGATGTTTGAGCGTTCCAGCGATTCGTTTTTGAGGCTTTTTGGGGCTCCTTGTAGAAGGATCTTCAACCATGATTGGAGGGGCTCCGTTATTGCCGGTGTGTCGTTCGCTAGATTACGTTGAGCGTCCTTGAGGGATGCGTGACTGATGGTCAGATCCGTGCTCAATATGGGGTTCAGGGCCTCTCCATGGATTCAACGGGTATTGAGCATATAGCTAAATCATAATCACGGCGATCTGCTGATGGATATCAAGATCTCTTGATCGGCCCTCTAGGGCCATCGTCCTCACCTGAGGGGCTGGTTCAAAGTGTATATCGACCTGTCATTTTTTGTGGATTTCAAGCTACTGTACACAGCAAGCACCTACGATAAGGCCTTGGACCCCGTAACCTTTGACGCCACTGTGCTGGCTGCTGCCTCCTCTCGACTAAGGATCCACATAAAAAATAGCTGGATCAAATAAGAATACACAAATAGAAATTGTGTTCTCCGGTTCCGCTGGGCTCGAGCAATTGTGTATGAAGCTCCAGCGCGGATTGCTGGGTCGTTGGAGGAATCCGGAAGGAGAACGTATTTCAGGGAGCGGAGCTGTGAAGACGCATTAGCTTGCTGCAAAGGAAGCTCGAATAATGGCACAGTGTTTTACCAAGAAGAAAGCATTGGCAAGGAAAGTATAGAGAAAGACAGTCCAGCCGATCCAGCCTGTAGTCCCGTTGCCTCCGCTCAAGATCTCTGAAACTGCTAAAGTAACAATAATTCCAACAAACTTGTAGCCAGAATATGCGACGAGGTCGAGGAGTTGCGAGTCATTGCTTATGTTCAGGATGTACATAGCCACTTTCAATACCACAATCTCGAATAATACCACCGCGAGTGCTGTGGAAGTAATCGAACCCAATAGCTCCGGTTTAAAGCTGCCTCGGAGTCCTGCTAGAATGGTAGAGAGGAGTATATATGTCACAAACGCCATGACGGGAATGTACATGTCGGGCGAGTTGAGGTCATCCCGGGGAGGCAGAAACAGAGATGTATATTGCGCTTGCCCAGCCTGTCCATTAGCCAATGTGGTGGTGGTATTGAGGCGCCCTTGCTGGCGTGACCAGGGCTTATGACGCCAGGGAAAGAGGACGAGAAGGAGTTTGGAGAGGACATAAGAGTTTGAGACATTGAAATAGTGCTTCAGGGCTGGTATAGACACATAGCGATCCAGCTGAAGGACGACCAATTAGCAGTTGAAGGAGCTCCTTTCGCAAGTTTAGATGGACAGCTCACATTTCGTTCCACATACTTCTGGCTTGCCTCGGCGACGCCCTTTCCGACCTGGAAGCCCATCTGGGCAGTTGGATCATTGATGAAGCCTCCAAAGCCTGGGCCGAAAGCTCCATTGGCGCCCTGGCCGGTCTGAGGCTGATAAGGATTGCCATAACTGTTGGTGTTATGCTGTTGCTGAGCCACTGGTGGAGGAGGCGATCTCATCATTGGTACGGTTGAGACATGTTGGGGGATTGGGTGGTGAAGTGGAGGGGATTGAGCAGGCGGAGGGGCAAACGATGAACGGTGCATGGCAGTGGGAGAAGGTTTATGCAATTTTCGTCACCACTAGAAGGTCGATGGCGTTAGAGCATGAAAGTGATCGGATGATATGGCAGCACAACAGCCTTCATTTTTCAAGGTTGACGAGTGGAGTTTCGGCCTGCCTAGGAAATAAAAATATCGCCAAGATTGAACAATCGGTGTCACGAGCAGTCCACAGTCAGTACTACGTACTAGTAGTAGCAGAGGAAGTGGTCGCCCACCTCACCCACTCTCACCCACTCACCCACTCTCACCCACTCACCCAACACGTACGAGTTTCGAGACCAGACAAAGGCCCAAAGGATCTTTGCCACACCAAACTCCAAGGTAAATCTGTAGATAAACCCACAAAAAAAGATAGCTCCCCACCCGGGTCGAACGAGTGACCTTAGGATCTGCAATCCCACGCTCTACCACTGAGCTAGAAGAGCAAGCAGGGATCAGTTGGGACTAATATATAATATATTATTTCACAAATTTAGCAGTCCCTTGTCCACGCGGAGTGCATGTCTGCCCACGTTATCACATAGCAATACATTCTCTATTTTCAAAAGTAAAACTACTTCAGCACATGTCTATCCTCGTGACTACTTCCTATTGTTGCTGTGCCTTAATCGCCACAATAGCTTTCATTCAGATTAGTATAACGTCCCAAAATGTTGGACGCTTTTGAAATACTGACGACTTCGGGCATTGTGCTTTGGTCGAGATCGAATATAGACCTCAGTTCTAACGTCGTCAACAGCCTTATCAATGATGTCTTCATTGAAGAGAAAGTGCGACCAGCCAGCTCACAAGGGGAAGAGACCTCTAGCCACCGCAACCCAACCTACAGACATGACAAGTACACATTGAAGTGGACACTGGTTAAGGATTTGGGGTTGATATTTGTGGTATGGTTGCTCTCAAGTCCAACTTTGGCCCTTGATCTTTAACGCTTGTAGGCTGTCTACCAATCACTCTTGCACCTGACCTGGGTTGATCGATTGCTTGATAACATCAGCACTATATTTGTCAATGTATATAAAGATGAGTTAATCAGGCCAAATGCCGCAGTCGCTAAATATGTTTTCGACGGCTACTACGACCAACAGTTGCGTGAGCTTGAATCCGGTACAGATGGAGCGATACTTGTTGAACCTCCAAGGAACTCGATAAACAAAAAAGAGCAATTACAGGAGGGGGACACAGGGGGACCACCACCGCCACCAGTGCCTGATCTGCTCAGGGTGCAGCCATCGGTTGCACCAACGAACGGGAACTCGGTCGAAAGCACACCTGTCCAATCTCCTGAGTCGTCGAGACCCACCACACCGATAGCAGGCCACTTATTGACTGGCAAAGGCGGACTTGGTGGACGTGGATCTCGAAGATCCCGCAAAATTGCCAGTATATCTTCGAATCCCTCTTCCGGTGATGAGACCCGGAAAGGCAAACAACAAAGGTCGACGGCGAAGAAGATGCGGAAATGGGATGCTGATGGCCTGGCTGATGAGGATGACGTGACCAACCTGGACTATTCATCTTCAAACGTTGGCGTCGATGCTAAGGAGAATATGAAATCGGTTCCAATCGAGGCCGTCGCACAGGGAAGCTGGGGAAGCAAGACAAGCAAGGGCCAATTTATCCTGAAAGACCTTGATGACGAAGTATCAAGCATTTTGTCCAACGCAGATGCGCAGAAAGAAAAGCATACATCTTCCAATGCCTTCGTCGGGGCAAGCTTTGGTGCTATCTCTGGTTACTTTCGTAATATCGTTGGCGGGAAAACCCTGGCGAAGCAAGATCTCGAGAAGCCCCTCAAGGTCATGGAAGACCATTTGGTTCAGAAAAACGTTGCACGCGAGGCCGCTCTACGGCTCTGCGAGGGCGTTGAACGGGAAATGGTTGGCAAGAAAACTGGCTCATTCGAGAGCATCGACAAAGCCTTGCGCCCAGCACTGGAGTCGTCATTGAGGAGGATTTTGACTCCAACATCGTCCTTGGACATGCTTCAAGAGATACAATCGGTAACAGCACCAACGGTGAAGACGATTTCGCCACGTCCCTACGTTATCAGCATCGTTGGCGTAAATGGTGTTGGCAAGTCGACAAATCTGGCAAAGATTTGCTATTTTCTCCTACAGAACAACTATCGCATTCTCGTTGCAGCTTGCGATACATTCCGATCAGGCGCTGTCGAGCAACTAGGCCACCACGTTCGCAATTTGAAGGAGCTCAGCGCACGAGAAAACGTGGGAGAGGTAGATCTCTATCAGAAAGGCTATGGCAAAGATGCTGCCAATGTAGCCAAGGACGCGGTAGCATATGCAGCCTCCCACAATTTCAATGTTGTACTCATCGATACAGCCGGTCGACGTCACAATGACACTCGATTGATGTCCTCCTTGGAGAAGTTTGCAAATTTTGCTAAGCCAGACAAGATCCTCATGGTTGGCGAAGCTTTGGTCGGTACAGACTCCGTCATGCAAGCGCGAAACTTCAACGCGGCGTTCGGCCCTGGGAGGAATCTTGATGGCTTTATCATTAGCAAGTGCGACACGGTTGGTGACATGATAGGCACACTTGTTAGTATGGTGCATGCAACTGGAATTCCTGTTGTCTTCTTAGGCGTCGGTCAACATTATGGCGACTTGAGGAACCTGAGTGTGCCGTGGGCTGTCAACCTTTTGATGTCCTGAATGGACACTCTACTATCTAGGAAAATTATGCACAATTCCGTCGTTTGAAAAGGCCTTCTCAGCTGTGGCGATCACCAAGGCCATAACTCCTACGTATGGGGAAATTTGTTACACATTCCTAGAATACTTCAATCACCATTCGGATCGAGTTTCATCTTCTGCTCAACATCTAGTTTGACGTTAGTATTAATCTTTACTTGTTCGGCAAGCACTCCTTTCGGGATTGGTCATATCCAGTCCATCAAACTCAAACAAATGGCTTCTAGGCACTTTCCCGAGTGTTCATTGCTGTATAATTACTGAGCATTAAGTTACTGGAAGTGGCAATATCCTGTGGAATGCTGGAAAGGCTTGTTGACCTTTGGCGGTATTGAGCGTATAAAACGTTATTTACTGCGAATACTCTCCTCTTTTTGTACTCTGTCTTTCTTTGAATCTAGATATCCTTGCGCTGCTTACCCTACACGCTCATTCTTGCACAGCGATGGCTTTCGCTATGAAGACATTCTCTATTGTTATGCTGCTAGCGGGCTCCGCTGCTGGTCATCCACTGACACGAAGGAGTGAAGGCTACATGGTGTTCAAATCCTCAATCATGCACCCACGCTTGAGCATCTTGAAGACGCCTTTTACCGTCAATGACTTGCCAATTTCACTCATCAGAAGTTCGTTGATGCCGGGTTCGCCGACCCCTGCGGGTAATGAGATGTACTCTTAATAACTGATAACGATACTATTGCCTTCGATCTTCATCGCTCACGTGCGTATTAACGGTATTATTCTCTGTGTAGCGTCGGGCGGGTGTTAGTATGCTCTGCTGTCAGGGATGAGACATGCAATCTTTATGTGCATAGCAGCCATTGTCTTCCCATGAATGAGAGCATATTATGTAACTAAAGACGGAGCAGACGGGTGCTTTAGGCAGGGGAGGGATTTGGGGCGGGCGAACCTACTTGGTGCCGCCGAAAAGTGCGTCCCTTCCTAATTTAGTTTAGCTCCACGCTAGATCTACCAACGTCAAATTCTAGCGAATCAACAGCTAATTTCAAACTCTCATATCTCAATAACAACTACTCGAAATTCGTTGCCCTTTAGCTATAGCAAGCAGCTATAGCTATGCCTCCTCATCATGGCGAAATTCCTTATGAAAAGCGCGTCGCTGTTGTTGCCCTGCGACTTTTTTAGCAGGCTTGAAATTCGGCGAAATTGCTGAGAAACTTGAGCTCGAAACGAATTCTATCAACAAGCTCTATAACCGTGCTCTAGAGCGTACAGAAAACGACTCTCGAGACTCATTTCTTGTTATTGCACAAAATTCAAGAGATGGGATAAGAGCAGGGAGGCCACTAAGGATACCACCAGGGTCAGAGGCATCTCAACTGTTAAGAGAGCTATTCCATGAGCATTTTGAACTTCCTATTGAGGTAGTAACAAACTATATTGCAGGACTCAAAATAGCACGCAGCACAGCCGAAAACGTCGCTCACAAGCATCGCGATCCTCTAAACAATCACGAATTAGTTCGAGTCGTACAGCCAAATAAGCCTGCGCTTACCCTTGACGTTCAAGATTTACGCTTTGAAAATATGCGGAATGGGCTACTAAGGAGCAAGAAAATGGGGCTATATTCATCTTTGTTGATGAAACTTATTACCATTTTGGAGGGCATTCAAGGAAGAAACCAAAGATTACAAAGCCAAAGGGTGCAGATTCGAATTTGTACGCACGTTTTGAGCCTGCGGAGCAGTTTCAGTTGATGGTATAGGGGGCAATTGGGCCATACGAAGATAAGATAAAGTTCCCCTTTTGGATATGGGAGCCGGAAACAGAGGAGGATAAACAACAAGCAGGTCAAGATATTAGTCAATACAATGCGTATCGCAAGCGAGAAGCGTTATCTCAACAAGCCAATGCTCATATCCCTGGTACTGTCGAAAATCGCGTTTTGCAAGAAGTCAATAACAACGTTGTTTCTCATAATCAACAACGACGTACAGAGGGCTATCAAGGCAATAAAGGATTCAAGAGAAGGCGTACAGCAGAACAAGTCTTCAAATATGTTAAATTCAAGAGAGATAATAAGAAGGGGGGCATTGATTGGTGGATCTATCGCAATGAGATCCTGATCCCTCTCTTGATACCTTATTATCAAGAGATTCAACGTTATTATGGTGACCGAGGCAATGTTTGGCTTGTTGAGGATAATGTTGGTATTCATAAGAAGGCGTGGGACTCTCTTGGAGATATAGGTGTTCTAAGAGCTCCTTGGATGACTAATTCTCCTGATTTGAATCAAATTGAGCCAATCTGGGGGTATCTTAAGGACTCATTATGGGATATGAGAGTAAACTCTTCTTCTGAGAGTATCAAGGAGCTAGCCAAGGGTAGAATTCGCTACGAAATGCACTCTGAGGGCATGCGACAGTGTGCTAAACACCATATTGATGTATAGCGATAAACTGGCCCAAGTTCGGAGGCACAAGGGCAACAACAACTTCAGAGGATAGCTGCAATTGATTGGCTGATGGATCCCTGCACTCTCCACCATTAGCTCTATAACTTATACCCGATTAGGAAAGATATACAGCTTCAATTTGGCGCTAGGACGCACTTTTCGGCGGCACCGAGTAGGGTCTTGTTTCAACGTCACGCAACTAGCGCAGCCTTATGGGCGGCTTCTTCCGGTGCTGTAATAATTAAGGTAAGGTGTGAGGGAGTCTTTTCGGGTCAAAGAAGCGTGGGCTGGGCTATCCCAACCCTCGAGCTGCCACAATCTCCATCTTGTGATCACCTCATAACCCCGACCCTACAACGAAAGCTTCCGACAGCACCCACTGAAGCTCTTTGACGCTCAATCTGGCGCTTGTTTCATGGAGACTCCGTCAGCATAGTCAACTGATCTCCATCCTAGATAGCGGACATGGGACGAACGCAGCAAGCCTGAAGACAAGGACTTGGTGATTAGCTGAGCGCAAGACAGGGCGTGTGACGGCAGATTCGATATGCGCGAATAGAGACAGCCGCACCCTCTCCGTTCTCCAACAGCAGCTTATGTTCCAGGTCCAGTGACGAAGAAAGAAGCTCCCCAGCGCCGAGCATGTCGAGCTATCCCAATGGCCAAAATTACTTTGGCCTTCCGAATGAAAAACCACAATCCCCCCGGCACCAATACTCAAGCCATGCACCACACCCAGAATATCAAGAGCACCTGGGGCGCACGTCGGGCTCCAATGCTGGAGCCGGTGGGGCGTCCCTTCATGAAGCGCATCTGCAGGACAATCAAGGATCTGCTGCACGAGGCGGAGGAGCGTACACAGCATACGGGCGCACATACAATCAAGGGCGGTACCCCCAAGCAAGTGACGAGGCATCATTACCAATGCGAACCTCTTCGATTGTCAATCCTCTAGCTCCCTACCAGAGCCAATACCAAGGAGTCTCCTCCGCCATAAACCCATCCCCTTATAATCCCTCACAATACCCTCAATCACAATCACAATCACATTATCCTCTCCAGGTGCATGGTAGTCCGCCAACATCTTACACTTCACCAACATATCAGGCGTACAACCCGGCTGCATACCAACCCCACACTACGCAACCTGGTCCGAGCTATTATCTAGATCAACCTGCAAGTCATGAAAGCCAGACACCAGGTTATATATCAGGCCAGCCGCCCGTTCCACCTCCTCCACCTCATCACAATGAACACCAGTATAACCCTTACACCACATCTCTCGACAACTACCGGGGAGGTCAATACCAGGAACCGACATATAACTCGAACCCTGCGTCACCCTTATCAGCGCAGACCGCGCCATATTCGCCTCCACCCCCGCCTCCACCTCCGCACGACCCCTATCTGACCGAATATGCACATTCTGAGCAACCTAGACCTTACGTGCATGGTGCCTCCTACGTCTCGGAGCGATACAATATCCCAGCAGGGCAACAGCCACAACCGGAGCACTCCGAATCGCAGACCCACCCCTCATACCAGGGACGAGCTTCATCGTTAGCAAGTCGAATCAGTCCTAACGCTGTTGCTCAGCCACCTTCCCCGCAGTCTTCATGGCCTTCGCCGAGCAATCAGCACCCACCACCTGTCCTGCCCCATCGAGCTGGAACCGTCGGTCGCCATCCTCAAGATAGACCTTTACCAGGACCTCCGGCACAGTCAACTTTGGGGCATGATTACTTTGGAGATCTAAATGGTATACGAGGTCCGTATACGCAGAGTCAAGACGGCTTGGGATACGATGACTTGATGCGGGAAGTGGACGATGCAATCCAGCAAGGAAGCAGCGGTACAAGGCCAACAGGGCGGAGTGCTCGGAACTTCCAGCCAAGCTCTCAGAATACAATCAATGAGCAAACGGAGCACGGGACTCCAACGTCGACATCTCCCCGACTTGCAGTGTCGCCTGACGAAAGACCAACGCATATCAACGGTGGGACCGCATCGATTGGTGGACAGCACACTAACTATGCTGGGTTCAGCGACGAAAGCGATGCAGAAGCTGCTGCTGGACTTGCTGCGATGCAAGCGGCAGAAGAACAGGAAGCCGCTGAAGAGGCGCGGCGTAGAAGCGGTAGCACATCACTTTTCAGCAGGCATGACTCACCTCGTGGATCAAGATCGCAGCTACTACCTCAGGATGTCAGCAGCGACAGTGACTACGCCAACGTGGACATGGGCTTGGTCGGAGGAGGTTATGGAGCGCCCATGTCATATGGTGATGAACCGCAATCTCACTATGCCGCCGCGGCCGCAATGCCGCAGGTAGACCCTTACCAACGATCAAATCCTCGCATGGATTCCCTTCGCAGCTCGGGACGGTCGAGTGATGGGCGAAGCTCTCAGACAAGTGGCTACGATTCCATACCCGCCCAAGATGCTATTCATCCATTCCCACCATTCAGGCACATGGACACGGCCCGAGTAGACACTGGTGGAACAGGAGGGCTTACAGAGCCCAGTCCCCATCCGCGCCGGCTGAGTTTCGAGGATGGTGACGAAGCGACTATGGTAGATTCAGAAACAGGCCAAACATCAGGAAGCCTAAGCCCTTCAAAGGATAGCATGCCAGACCTCTTCTTCTTTCCTGGAATGAGCCCACCACGGCCATTGCCGCCTGCTCCGTCCGCTTCCGACCCTGGAAGAATTCCTCATTTGATACCAGCGGGGACATTTCCCTCCATGCAGAGCTCACGCTACGATGCCAACGGACGGCCCTTTCCTACCGCCCCAAACAGCTACGTACAGTCTTACCTGAACCCTTCCCAAGTCCCTCGGTCTACCTCGCTTGCTAGCGCCCGCAGCGCACCCCGAATCGAGCAACCTATTCGTTCGAAAACGGACGCCGATCGTGCAAAGCTTCTTAAGCAACAGCTTGGAAGTAGGCCTGGCTCGGAGATATACGAGACCAGCGGGCCGGCCAGCAGCGTTGGGTTGGATTTGCCTGCGATACCTCGCAGGGGGTTTAACCCCGCAAAATTGACCAAGGAGCAGTACAAGAGATGTGAGGAACCATGGGCCTTGAGCTCGATTGTTGGGTGGATCCGAGACCTGGCTGAAGAAGAAACTGACCTGAAGGAGCAAGCACTTGTACAAGCAATCATAGCACTCTTTTTGTTTGCAGTCCCCACCATGAACATGACAGATGCCGAATCCCTGGGTGATCGGGTGGTGACGGAAATGCTGTCGGCTGGTGCCCTCGTCAAGGAAGAAGAATGGGTCAAATTCGGAGCCGGAACTGTGAGTGGCGTCCTGTTTCAGTTGACGAAGAAGGGGTGTTATTCCTGTAAACTCCACGAGCCAGAGATGAAAGGCAAATGCTACTCCTACCACTGCATGAGAACGTTGAGAAAAGTCGATTTAAGTCTTCCCATGGAGTCTGAGAAAACGTCTGACGACTGGGCGACATTCTACCAGTTGAGCAAAGAATATCTTTCTGCTCGGGACAAAAGGGAGATTGAGCGCCAAAACGTACTCCACGAGATTGTCACAACTGAAATGTCGTATATTGGAAGTTTGGATATCGTAAGGATCCTTTACCGGGATTCTTTGATACACTCGCAACCACCGGTCATCCAAGCAAGACGACTGACCAGCTTTTGTCGAGAGGTCTTTGGTCAGATCGACCAAGTGAAAAAGGTCAATGAGGATTACCTGCTCGCTCAACTCAAGTATCGTCAGAGGGATCAAGGGCCGTGGATCATTGGATTCAGCGACCTCTTCAGGGAGTGGATCCGGAAGGCCAAGTCAATCTACATTGAATATGCTGCTGGCTTCCCACACGCTGATTTCCTAGTAAGGAAAGAAGCTAGTCGGAACATTCTTTTCAAGCAATTTCTAGACCAGGCTCGAGAAGACAAGAGGTCGAATCGCCTTGCATGGGACACATATCTGAAATCACCAATCACGAGATTGCAACGTTATGGTCTGCTCTTGTCGACAGTGCTTAAGAGCACTACCAAGGACACGGAAGAAAAATTAAATCTTCAGTACGCCATAGACGAGATAAAGGCGGTTACATTCGAATGCGACATAAAGGTGCAGGAGATGGAGAAGAAAATGGAACTTTTAGAGCTGAAAGATAAGCTACGATTAAGACGAAATATGGAGAAGGAGGTCCTTCTCAATCTGGATCATCTTGGACGAGAGCTCATCCGTCGGGGAGATCTGCTGCGGGCTGGTGGGAAAGGCTTTCAGTGGGTCGACACTCACGCATTGCTTTTCGATCATTACCTTGTGCTTGCCAAAGCCGTAGTCGGAAGGGATTCCGCTGGAGGAGCAAAGTACGAACATTACGACGTTTCGAAAGTTCCCATCCCAATGGACTTGATCGTGCTGGAAAGCTCGAATGATGATCCTGTAACCAAAGGTTCTGTGAAGAGCATCGGCGGTATCAGTACAATAGCTGGAGCCCCGAGGGCAGCTACTGATCCGAGACTAGCAAGAACGACTTCGACTATGAGCGGTGGATCTGCGCCTGCTACCGTAGTCACTACTAGCGGCTCGTCTACAAAGGACAGCAACAGCATTCACAAGAGCATGGTCACCACAACCGTTCTCGAGTCAAACACCAAGGACGACAAGATCATGTATCCCTTCCGGATCAAGCACCTGGGCAAAACCGAGGTGTACACCTTGTATGCCCCGTCTCAAGCGAATCGTACAGAGTGGTGCGAAGCCATCGTCTCGGCTAAAACGCGTCATGCGGAAGCACTCTTGGAACAAAATGCGGAGCCGTTCCGACTTAGAGTTCTCGCAGATACTGCGTTCGGCTATGATTCGCTGGCTGGAATATATCGTCCAACTACTATTAGAGGCACGCCCCTTGACCGAGCTATTAAAGAGGTCGAGAAGAAGTACGAGGGCCACAGTCGGCCAGGACCTGTGTGCAGAGCAACAGTAAACTGCGCAACCGCCTTTAACCACCCACCTGGAAGGTTGATGTGTGCGATAGGAACGGATTACGGCGTGTATTTCTCTGAGTATGACAATCCTCGAGGCTGGTCAAGGGTAAGTTATGAACCTCGCTCACAGGGTGTTCCCGCTAAGTGAAATGCAGGCTATCCAAATGTCACGCGTAACACAAGTGGCTGTATTTGAAGAATTCAACCTCTTTCTTCTGATCTCAGACAAGTCTCTTATTGCATATCACCTCGACGCAGTGTGCCCACCATCAGGCACTGCACCTCCACCTAACGATGCATCTGCCAGGAAGGCACCTCAGAAACTTTCGGGAAGCAAAGACGTCGGCTTCTTTGCCACTGGGCGCATGAAGGACCGAGCACTCGTCTTTTACAAGAAACGAGACGGGATTTCTTCTACCTTCAAAGTTTTAGAGCCTATCCTGCAAAAGGCCACGAGTACTCGCTCTCGCTTCCTGCCGACTCCGGCGCGCCGAGGGCACACAGATTTCTTCCGTGAGTTTGACGAGTTCTACATTCCTGCCGAGTGCTATGGCATCAACCTCTTCCATTCAAGCTTAGCCGTGTCAACGGCTAGAGGCGTGGAAGTCTTGACTCTCGACAAAAAGCACCCCTGGAGTGTCCCCAATCTGCAAAGTGAACAACCCGAGGCGCAGCCTCATCTGAGCTCGATCGCGAGCCGTATCAAGGACCTAAAGCCACTAGGTATGTTTCGCTTGAGCGAGGCCGAGTTTCTTGTTGCGTTTGAAGAGTGCGCAGTCTACGTCAACAAGCATGGTGACGTTTCGCGCGGTGTGGTCATGGAGTTTGTGGGAAGGGCAACTTCAGCATGCCTGTACGGCCAGCATCTGATCCTTTTCGACAACGATTTTGTTGAGATTAGGAATGCCATGAACGGCAGAATGAAGCAGGTGATTGCGGGGAAAGACATCAAGATGCTCGACGACGGCGGAGGCAGCAACACCATCCGCTCTCCAGGTGGGGGACTTGGTGGAGGTGTGAATGGTCTTGGTCTGCAAGGCTATGGGGCCGGCCCTAGGACTGTCAAGATCAGCATGCAACACCCTGAACAGGAGCGGAGCATGGTCGTGGTGGAGCTGATCGAGAACGAGGGCACTAGGGAATAGGTTTGCAGATGGTCATCTTTTCATCTTCTCTATTTAACTTGGCGCGCACGGCGATCAATCGGGCGGGCGATCGATTGGAGATGCAACAGCGTTGGGAAGTACTCTCTGGGTCGAGCATATGCAAGTCTCTGGTCTACTATGAGCGATAAGTAATGCATTGTGGCTTGTCAACATTTGCTGTTAAACCTGCCGTCGTCGTTATTGGAACAGCAATGAGACCTGCTACTAGTTCTATCTGAAAGGGAGTCTTCTGCGGGATGTCTTCTTACCAAGAGAAGGTACTTAGTGAATGGATAGCCTCATGCTTGAGAGTACTGTGTAGAAATACAACAAAGGATTGGTCACGAGTCTCCCCCAACTTCAATCTCTTGTTGCCGCCAAGGCGCCCCAGCTTCAGGTGTATCGCCAGCTACGTTAGGTCTCAGCCTTGAACCTGGCGGGTCCGAGATGCTGTGCTTATCTGGTTTCCTTCCCCTCAATCTTCGTTTCTGGGTCGTTAACTTTTGACCGGTGTATGGCAATTTCCATGGACAGCGGGCTCCAGCAAGCTCCTGTGGGCAGACACCCGTACTCCGCCTGAGGGTCTACCACGATGTTCCAGTTCAATACTCTTGTTCAGAAGGCGCAATCACTGATAGATCCCTCTGTCACGGTCCTCTCGCCGACCACGGAACGCAACCCCTCGAAATCAGTCCTTTTCCGCCACCAATTTCGCCTTCCTGACTCGCAATCCCCCCTCCATGAAATCAGCGCAGAACTATTTATTCCTGCTGCACACACGATATCTACAGAGCCATCTTTCGAGTCCAAAGAGAATGGAACAAAGTACGCGGGAGAGCTTCACCTGAGCGAGAGCTTTCTTTGCTTCTCTACGCAGCGGACCAGCTTTCTTCCCAATTCGAGTTTCAGCGCCTCCAGCAGCTTTACGGGACAGACGCATGGGACTGGACCAGCAGGAAATGGCTTTACCTTACCACTCTGCGCTATCAGGCGTGTGGAGAGAATGAAGAGTCAGAGTCACGTCTTCTCTCTTGCATTGACAACATGGAACGGGATGCTTATTCCATCTAGTGGCAAGGATACACCGACGGTACCCCCTCAAAAGCTCGTGATACACCTTGATGGCAGCCAACACGCTTGCGAGAGATTCTGTGACGGCCTGAAGAAGGGTTTGAGGGAAGGTACCAAAGAAGTCGAAAGTCTACGAACCGTGGTCTCCCACTGCTACTCTGAATACCTGCTCGAACGCCTCCTGGGTCCAAGTCGAGGCAATGAAAAGGAAGACGCACACAGGAGAGAGCCACCTGACGCTGGATTAGGAATGTTGTTTCGGTACCCTGGAGATGCGAGAAAGCTTCGGGATAGGAGTAAGATGAGGTTGTGGGGCGAATACTTCAGGGAGAACGGGCGCAATGCGACTCTGGTGCGGCAGCCTACCTTTCATAAGTTGATTCGCGTAGGGCTACCCAACCGATTGCGCGGCGAAATATGGGAGATCTCTTCTGGGAGCCTTTACATACGGATGAGAAGTCCAAATTTGTACGCCGAGACTCTATCCAAGCACTCTGGAAAGGACTCCCTGGCTATCGAGGAGATAGAGAAGGATCTGAATCGAAGTTTACCAGAATACCCGGGTTTCCAGAGTGAAGAAGGCATCGGAAGGCTGAGGCGGGTTCTCACAGCTTACAGCTGGATCAACGAAGAGGTCGGCTATTGCCAGGCCATGAATATAGTGGTGGCAGCTCTTCTAATCTATCTGTCGGAAACACAAGCATTCTTTGTCTTGTCTGTGCTGTGCGATCGGCTCCTCCCCGGCTACTACTCTATCACGATGTACGGCACGCTGCTGGATCAGAAAGTCTTCGAATCGCTGGTCGAGAAAACAATGCCTGTTCTATGGGACCATCTGGTCAAGTCTGATGTGCAGCTTTCGGTCGTCTCGCTTCCTTGGTTCTTATCCTTGTACATCAACTCTATGCCCCTTGTCTTTGCCTTTCGAGTCTTGGACGTCTTCTTCCTCGAAGGTCCGAAAGTTCTCTTCCAGATCGGTCTTGCAATTCTCAGGATCAATGGAGAGGAGCTCTTGGATGTTAGCGATGACGGATCATTTATCTCCATTCTGAAGTCTTACTTTTCACGCCTTGACGAATCCGCTCACCCGAAATCAGAGAATGAGAAGCTTCGAGCAATCACGCGGTTTCAAGAGTTAATGGTCGTGGCTTTCAAGGAATTTGCTGCTGTGACGCACGCCAGCGTGGCCGAGCAGAGGGCCAAGCACAAGGATGCCGTGCTGGAGAACATCGAAAGCTTTGCGAAACGGACTTCGATACGAAACCTGGGGCCCGAAAGCAAGAAATTAGCGGTAAAGGACCTTGGTGCGGTGTATGATCGCTTCTATGAGATCTTATACGAGCGGCAAGCAAAAGACAAGGCAGCAGACGACGAACAGAAGAGGAAGGAAAGACAAAAGCTTCGGCCCAAATTCCTGTCGGCCAACCCAATGGTCTCGCAGGAGAACGACAACCGACCTGGCAGAGTTGGCATGGGTCCCTCACCTTCAATCATGGACTACACCGACTTCCGGAACTTCTTGGCCAAGACCGCCAAATGGGCTGTATCTGATTCACCTGCCTCCCCAGTGAGGGCAGATCAGCTCAATTCCACCCAGCGGCAGCGGCGCAAGTCTGCTTCGGCATGGAATGACAATGCAGAGCCCGCAGACCATGACTTCATGCATCGTCTCTTCAGGCATTGGGACGAAAGCAAGCAGGGAGGACTCTCCCTCCAGAATGTAGTCAATGGACTTGCCAGATTAAAAGGCACCGGAGATATAATGGCAACGATCAGCTACTTTTTCAACCTCTTTGATGATCAAGGCAACGACAGAGTCGACCGGGAAGGAATTTTGAGCATGTCAGAAGCACTTCTTTTTCTCTCTCGAAGGGGGTTTGAGGGAACGCTGACTCCAAGCGACTCGTCCAATGCAGTGGATCAGCTGGCGTCAGCGACCGAGCCCGACGCCAAAAGAGATACCACGAAGCTCAGCACAAGTGAGCGCTTTCTCGGCAGTGTCAGTGCGTTTATACGACGATGCTTTGAGTATGCCGACCCTGATCACCCTGCCAATCACAAGGAGAACACCTCGACTCTCACTCAAGAAGTAGAACAAAGGGTAGACAGATTCGCCATTGGGGACGAGGACGAGGACGAGGACGAAGATGATCTTCTTGAATTCCTCGAAACGCGTGCAAACTCGAAACGTCCAGTTCCCCAAACTGTTGTGTCCCCAGTTCCTGTCTCTTCGGACCCTCTCCGTGATCCTACACCATCATGCTCGCCTCCATTGACCGCACGACCGACAGTTCAGGCATCTAACTCTAATAATGGCAGCTCACATTCAGAAACCCGTGCCGCATCACACAACCTTGCCCTTGACCCCGAAAATCCCCTCCACATCACCCTACCCACCTTCCGGATGGTCATCCTCGCCGACGAACTGCTCGAGCAGTTCTTCGAATCCTTCTTCCCCCAATCCTTCCACCTCTCCGACGCGCCGAACCTCAACGCAGCCAGCTCTCTCACCACCTTCACCAGCCTGGGCACGCCGGTCAAAAACCTCATGACCGGCAGCTCAACCGACAAGGAAGGCTTCGTCCACGTCGGCCGGGCAGGCGGGGTGGTCGAGCCCGGCAGCCGCGGTCTCAGAGGCGTGCTCGACAACATCGTCAACGATGGCATGAGGATGGCGGCCGAGATGCGCAAGAGGATGGATGAAGCACAGCGCGATCACGATCGGAACAATAACAACAACAACAACAATCTCGCCCACCGACGGGAGGAGGAGGATGAAGACGACGAGTTTGACGAGAAGGCGCCGGCGAGACGCGATCAGGATCTCCTGGAGGGTGCCGAGGTGGCGAGCATCAAGACGATGAGGAGCGATACCGCGGCGACTTTGCAGCCGGATTTGATGGGTGGAGAGATGAAGTTGGGAGGTGAGCAGATGGCGCAGTGAGCGGGTAATTTGTTGGATATCAGAAATTGTGGCGTTTGAGCGTTAAGCGTATACTCGTCAGCAGGGGAGGGCGTATAGGGGAGGTGGGAAAGCTGTCGGATGACTGACTTCCCCAGACATGCACCGCGGCGTTGGAGGAGGGGAGCAGCATCGTGTATATATATACTAATCAGACAAAGGTTTTTGCATGTTTTTTTGAATTCTATGGCTCCCAGAAAACACCACATCAGCGCAAATCTTATATATCTCGCATAGCTAACTAGCCAGCCTCAGGCCCTCCACCCCTGCACAAACTCATGCAGGCGATCAATGACGACGCCAAAGACGGCCGAGACGCTATCAGCGATGACCTGTTCCAGCACCCTGCCGGCCTCCTCCTCGGACAACTCGAGATGGAAGCGCTCCCTGACCTTGGCGACCTCTGCCCCATCCGTCTCAATCCGGCACCGAACTGCGCACCATCAGGCTGAACAGGTTGAGCACCAGACTGCTGCTCTTGCGCAGCGTCATGTAGGCGGTGAAGCAGTACTGCTGGAACTGGGCGTAGTGCGGGCTGGCGGCGCCGCCGAGGCCCTCGACCATCTCCTTGGCGATCTTGATGAGCGGCGCGAAGGGCTTGGGGTCGCGGCCGAGGATGAAGCCGAGGGCGATGTGGAAGAAGTGCCCGGTCGGGCTGAGCAGCAGGTTCTCCAGGTGCCGGTCCCCGACGCCGAGGATGTAGGTGATGACGCAGTAGCCGGCGCAGGATTTGATGTACGTGTCCATCACCTCCTTGCGGATCCCGAGCGGGGCGGACGTGTCGGGGTTGTGGGTGCGCAGGTAGCCGAGGATGCTGCCGCGGTGTTTGGCGCTGATGGCGGAGAGGGAGGTCGAGGGGATGAATTGAACGGCTCCTGCTGAGGCGGCGGTGGCGAGGATGCGGTAGGGGGTTAGTTTTAGGTCGAGGTTTTCGATCTGGAGGAGCCGGTCCATGAGGGTGATGATTTGGATGACCAGTTGGTCTTGACGCAGGTCGTCGCCGGTTTTGAAGATGATGGGGTATTTCTTCGTAGGCGTGGAGGGGGTGCGGAAGGTGAGGAGGAGCGGGGAGAGGGAGGATTTGAAGACGTTGGATTCTTCTGGATGGAGGCCTGTGATTAGGATTGTCGGGTCGAGGGGGAGCGGGGAGAGCTGGCTCGATTACGATCAGGTCGTTTTTGGGGTCGGCGAGGTATTTCTTGAGCCGTTCGATCTTGTAGATGCGGTTGTCGCGGCCAAAGCGGATATCTTTGGCTATCTTGTCTAGGATGGCGATGAGCTCGCCTTGACGAAGAAGGGTTCTGCGTTGTTCAGGACCGTTCCGTTCGAGAGATAACATGAAGTAGTACTCGACACGGGCGAAGAGTTTCCGGTGGGTCATATTGACGTCTGGACTTTTCTCATCACATTCGACCATCAAATACCAATGGAGATAGTTACCCAGAACAAAATTGCGGGTCGCTCGATCGATGAGAAATCTTGCCAGGGACGAGTCTGGGATACCTTCTTCTTCGGCTTCGTACTTCTCGAATTTAAGAGCTTGTACGAGCTGCAGGAGGTATAGGAGAAGCTCTTCGTCGTCCGCTTTCCTCAGTCTATCCACTGCATATGCTCTGACCACCGGATTGTCAAATGTCGGCCCAAGCAGCTCCAATGCAGCGTCCACGTCAATCTCTGCCCAGTAGGGGATGAGATCGATGGCCTGCCGGATTTCATTTGGATCTTGCCAATTTGTTGCTTTGACAAACTTGGTGAGAGCTCTTTTGTCCTTGCTAAGATGATGTCGGAACTTCCATACAACGTCCTTCTCTTCTGGATTCAGGTCTTGAGTGGGTCCATAAGATATGATCTCGTTCAGCTCATCGCGTAGTTTTGCGTTTGGTTTCAAGTCTCGGTCCATGTAACCATTCCGATCGCTTCGTATCAACCTTCGATGTTTGATTTCGCAGGGATTATCACGTTGAAACTGCTCTGGGTCATAGATTCGAATGACGCGACTGGCTTCATCTTCCTCGAACCCATTTGCTCCTGCAATACCCGGTCCAAGTTGCACTTCTGGAGCGGACCTCGGACCAGGATTGGTAGAGGTTGGGATACTTTGAAATTGTCTGATAACTTTGGGTGGCTCGTACTCATAGTCCTCGAATACTATGGGAAAATCCCATCTCGGAAATTCAATGTAGAGTGTGAATTGTTCCTTGTCCTCACCTTCACTTTCAGACTCCTCGTCGTCTGACAAGTCTGCTTTCTGGCCGTTTGGTGCAGTTTGTGCCAAGATCTGATCTCTTTCCGCCTTCCTTTCCCGTCTGACTGCTCTTCTCGAGGCCGCCTGCTTTCGCGCTGCCTCTTCTGCCTCCTGTCTCTTTTGGTACACAGCTTTGAAGACTAGCTTATCCAGCCAATCGACACGAGGCATTTCATTCATCTCATGCCTTTTGAACAGTTGCTCCAGCCGTTCAAGTTCCTGCTCTTCGGGAGTGGGTTGGTAGGCGTCCTTCTGCTTCCGCCTTCTTTTTGGTGGTGGTGTTGAAGGTGTTGTGGTGGATGCGAGGCCATCAGCAGGCCGCTTCCTGTACACCTTGCATTTCTGTCGTCCTTTCTGAAGAGTCCCCTCGTTGTCAAACAGAGGAACTGTTGTGCCACCAAAGGGCACTGAATGGTCTCTTGCAACATTGCTATCTGCTGGAGAAACGTCCCATATTGTGATGGCTAGTTGGGAAGTAATGGGGCAATCCTTGATCAGAACTGGAAGACGAAGCCATTCATTCCATACCCTGCTATTTTTAAAGTATTTGTAGGACGTTTGCATATGCACGCCTATTGGCTTCGAGTCGGCCCATAGCTGGACTGTCACGTACAGATCTGACGACTTTGGATTCTGCACTGAGCCCAGATGGCGGAGCTCCGGTTGCTGTAGAAGAATCGAAGGGGGAATGGAAGTAGGAGTTCCATCCAAGTTGTTTCTAAGTTAGGCGTCAGCCTGTCTTCCTAATGCAAAATAGCTTCAGCCATCCAATACCATAAACGATGCGTGGATGATGTTCAAGACTATTATATCTTTTAAGAGAATGTAATCATTTGCCAGTTTGGATAGGACGAAATAAAACGAGAAACATGACCAGAAAGCTTTTTGAGAAATGTATTATCTGATATCACTCTTCTTTTGGAGAAATCTATGCGATGCCTCATGATGGACCGCACTGAGCGCTAGAGTAATGTGGAAAGCTGATCTTTGGGGTCGCTAAGGAACATAGGCCAGTGCCGAAGAAGCAGATACTACTTACATTTTTACATGGACGGGAAAGTCTATCTGTCGAGAAGTTGCAAATGTGTAAGTATCCATCGGGTCATCCCGCACTTGTAGGTCTCTACGGGGTCCGAAGCATCAGACTTCAGTACTTCAGTCTCAACTCGGTCGGGTACTGGTGGCACTGGTGGTACTGGTGGTACTGGTGGTACTTCGTAGTAGATGACCAGATGACTGGAAAGGGCAATATTGAAGGCCGGTAGTACCACTACGTAGTACTACTAGTAGTACTAGTAGCACTTAACAGTGGTCAGTCTTGGCGCGTCTGACATTCAACGCGTGGAACAAGTGAAACAAGCGGACTAGGTACATAAGCAGGGTGTGGAATAGTGACTTTGCCAGAGTCGCGTCACAGATCAAGCAGATGAAGCTGTTTCGGGGAAGAAGACAACAAGGCGAATCAGAAGAGCAAGGCAAAGATATTGGAACTACCCCGTCTGTATCATTTCCCTTCCCACAAACGGGGCAGACAAGTCAGATCCCAGCCTAGGCTGCATGCGCCGCATCTCCAACTGCCGGACAACTCTCCTTTCTGCAGATTTCTGTTGCTCGGAATGGCTCGACTACGGGAATCATCATCACCAGAAGGTAGCGAGCAACTTGAAGAGACTTCGTCGCTGCCCGCGCGTCGTGTGACCTCAGAATCATCCATCCGACCTTCACCAGCGCCATCTGCTTCCTCCGACAAAGAGAATCATCACGCTTCAAAGACGCAAGCTGGGCTCGAGAAAAGAAGAGGCGGATCTGTCAGAATGTCGATGCAACCCTCGGGCTCGGGCTCGGGCTCGAGCTCTACTATCTCAGGCAAGAAGAGAAAACTGCAGGATGCTCAATCACAACCGAGCCAGGCGCGACATCGTCGCGAACTAGAGGAGAGAGTGGACAAGGATTTCTATGACCCCGATCAAGATGAAGAGGAGCGCAGAGCTGTGCGGAAGGGCATGCGAGATCTCAACAAAGAGCTGAATGGTTCGTTGCTTTCCTTGGGGCCGCCTCCATTCTACTATTGGTATGCTGATTCAAACTAGATACGCGATCCGAACTTCTCAAAGCCGACTCCAATGGCCTTGTCACCATCATACATCGCGCAGACGAGTACTTCAGAGCGGTCAAACAGACTTCCGATGCGACGATTGACTCCCGTACACTGGTGCAAGCAGCTGACCTCTCCTACAAACGAACGAACGAGCTCTCGCTGGGCGACTCCTCTGTTGGCATCGATGTTGATGACTTTGTAACCAAGTGTGTATCGTTCATGCGGCGGGCAGACGGCGGCAATAACCAGGGCGCGGGCGCAACTGGAACACAATCGCAACGGAGGCGGAGGCAGGGAGACGCAGATGACGAAGATGACGAAGAGAATGATGAGCAACTCAATTGGGCTCATCTAGGACGGCTTGCCTGCTTTCCGCACAACGCTCGTCCCTGTGTTTCCGGATTCCTCCTTGGACCGCTTTCAGTACAGAAGAAGACTCGACAACAAACACAGAGAAGAGCGCGAGAGGTCCGCGCCAACCCTGCCAACGCCACACGGCCACAGGAGCTGGTGGAAGAAGATTTGGAAAAGCAGGAGACTGCCAACTTGACTGTGATATGCAAGGAAATTGAGCGTCTTCTGGGTCGCACACAGGCGAAAGGCTGGGAGGCGTGCGAAAAAGAGCAAGCAGAACGGGAAGATATGACAGAAGACGAAGCCCTGGAAATGATGTTGAGTCATGGCATCTCTGACGACGGCTGCGTGCCCCTGTTTGACTTCTGTGTGAATCCAAAAAGCTTTGGGCAAACCGTGGAGAATTTGTTTTACATTTCCTTCCTGATCAAGGAAGGTAGTGTCGGTCTCAACTTTGATGGAAGGGGTTTGCCGACACTGGGTTGCGCAGATCGGGAGCCTGGAGAAGAACAGCAGGCCAAAGGATCGTCGAGAAATCAGGCAGTCTTTGCCCTGGACTTCGAGGTGTGGGAAGAAATCATTGAGAGCCATGGCATTCAAAAGAGTTTGATTCCTCACCGAGAGGAGGAGGCGTACGACGATGGTGTTCTGGAAGGTACGGGATGGTATGGCTGAATGAGTACCATTTGATAATTGTTTGTTCGACGGATGGATATACCCTTCTTCTTGTAGATACCGCTCGAGCCATGAGGCAAGCAGATCTGTCGGTTATGATGAGCAGCTTAGATTGATGATACTGGATGATCAACCGATCTTGTCCAACAGCTTCCGCCTTCTCCTATCGACCAGTTCCTCCTGTACCTCTTCCATCGTAGGGAGCCGCCATGCCACCCCGTCCCCAGCATCGCCTGGCAGAGGCTCCCAGCCGTCATCCTCGCTCTCATCCGGGATAGCCGCCACCCTCTCCATCGCCTCTCGTTCCTTCTTTTTCTCATACCTCAACAACGTGCCATCCTCCTCATCAAGGCCATAGCCAAAGTAAGCCGCATCGACATTCCTCCTCGCCAGATCCCCACCCGCCCTCGGCTTCTCCTCATAATCCTCCCCGTGAACATGCCTCTTCGCCGCCCGTTCAAACATCTCCTTCACCCCGGGCAACTCCCGCGCCCCCTCCCGAAATACCGATACCCCTTCCCACCCCCGGGCACCTCCCTCCCCTCATTATCCACCACCGCCCCGCCGCGCATGTAATTCGGGCCGCCCAACTCCCTGATCCGCCTCTCCCACCCCCACTTCTCCTTCATCAGCTTGTTGATCTCGTCGTTGACGTCGCGGATCTGGAAGTCGGTCAACGACTCATCCTGGATCTTGGTGATTTTGCGCGAGATCTCCTTGAGGATCTGGCCGCGCCATTTCTCGCACACGGGGATCTGAGAGATGGTGGAGGGTGCTTTGGGGCGCCGCGCGCCGGCGGTGGGGAGGAAGAGGCCTGATTCGGCGGCTTGCGCGGCGCGGAAGCGGAAGAGCATTGATTGCGCTTTTTCCGAGTTGCGCGCCATGGTTGATGAAGGTGGATGGGTAGGGGATAGAGTGGAGTTGGGATGACTGGCTATCTCAGATGGGAACCAAGTGGACTTGGCGAGGGTGACGCACAGTCCGGAAGGGAGGTTGAGGATTAGATCTATGGTCTTGTGGTGGTGGCAAAGAATGCAAATGACTGAGTAGTTTGGCGAAGGAGCTGGAGCATAATCACCTTACTGCCCCTTTTGGCTTAGTGGAATATACTGTAATACCTATTGACCTCCTGAACCACGATTCACGATTCCTCGTGCTCTTGAAGTCGATCATTTGAACTGCCCGGTGGACCAGTCCTCCCCGATCATGAATTCACAATAGAGAACAAAGCTCTGTTGTTCTACCATTGGCGAAGGAAGAGAGGATATGTCACAGTGGCTTGGGTCCCAAAACTACTCGCATCAGACTCAACTGGTTGGAGCCGCAATCGTTGGCGGCCTTGCTGCTGCGGCTACAATATACAGCCTTCAGAACCTCAGGCGTAATGTGGCTCTGGGAGACCTGAAAGCATCGATACCGCCATTAAGTGGCAAAGATCAATCTCAAAGGGTTCGAACAACGAAGTTTTGACAGCCATAGACACTTTGCTGATCAGGTCTTCTGAAGCTCACCGATTTTGGCGGCGCTTCCTTGCGGACATCGACTAATAAGGAAGATGAGCGCAACGCTGCTTTGGCTGCTCGCGCTCGTAGAGGCGATTATGATGATGGTAAGATGTTGCGTGTTGGCTATCAACGACATACTGACAACTTTTACCCTCTAATTAGAACTAATAATGGAGCAATTGGCACGTAATCGTGTCTTCCTCACCGATGAGGGCCTGCATAAGCTTCGCCAGTCTTTTGTGATCGTTGTTGGCTTGGGCGGCGTTGGATCTCATGCGACGACTGCACTCGCAAGAAGTGGCGTAGCCATGATTCGCTTGATCGATTTTGATCAGGTAACGCTCTCATCTCTGAATCGACATGCGGTAGCAACGCTTGCCGATGTTGGGATACCCAAAGTGCATTGCGTGCGGAAGAGGCTTGAACTGGTCTCGCCATGGGTGAGGTTTGATTGCCGTAATGAACTCTTTCGCGTCGAAGCTGCTCCAAGGCTACTTGGTGAATGGAACCACGAGTTGCACGGAGGAGAGGACAGGAGGAAGCCCGATTACGTGATCGACTGTATAGACAACATAGACTCAAAAGTCGCGTTGTTGCTTTACTGCTATCAGCACAACATCAAGGTGGTTTCCTCCATGGGTGCTGGGTGCAAGTCTGATCCTTCCAAAATATGTCTAGGAGACATCTCAAACAGCACTGACGACCCTTTATCAAGATCGACAAGACGACGATTGAGGGTTCTGGGCGTCAAAGAGGGCATTCAAGTTGTATTTTCGAGCGAGAAGCCCGGTCCGGGAAAGGCTGAACTGCTACCACTTAGCGAAGAAGAGTTCGCAAAGGGCCAGGTGGGTGAATTGGGTATCCTCCCAGATTTCCGCGTCAGGATATTACCTGTGCTTGGCACCATGCCAGCAATGTTCGGGTATGCTGCTGCCAATCATGTCATCTGCGCTGTTGCCGGATACCCTCTTGAGTATCGAGTGGGTGATAAGAGCCGCGAAAAGTTGTACGCAGGCATACTCGCAGCATTACAAACTATGGAAGCCAAACTAGTCAAAAGTATCACCGGCAATATCCCGCTAGGCCTGAGAATTCCGTTAAATCTCGAAGACGTGGCTTACCTCATTGAGGAGGTTTTTCGAGGGAAGAGCGTTATAAGCGGGTTGACAACCAGGCTGGCGCTGGTGAGATGGGAGAGGCCAAGCGACGGATACCAAGTTGAGCCCACTTGGGAGAAAGAAGGCCAGATCTTTGTCAGGCTCGGCCTTGGAGAGTTGGTGTGTGTTACTAAGGAGGAAGCACAACGGCATGAACGAGAGGTCTTGAGAGGTAATAAGAGCCCGGAAGACCTTTATGCACAAGAAGTACTACACCTCGTCTCGAAGAGGCAGCAAGAAGAGCTGTCGTTTAGTAGGTTTCGATGAGAGACGGCTGAATATCTGGCCACAAGTTGGCATGGACACACCATGATCAATGTGGTAAGAATTCCGTCGATATGAGGACAATAGACTCAACATGTTGCCTCTGCAAGGGCCGGGAATGATTCTTGAGGCCTAGAAGCTTCTCTATCCGCTGTTTACAAAGTGGTCATTGCTGGAGAGTTCTCTTCCGATTGTAACTGCTTTGCTGCATCTGGACAGAATAAGGCCATTGTGGTTTCGGAGGACAAGGAGTCGAAGGCCATATGTGCCTCCCAGCCATACAGCTGGCCGTACAACCAAGATCAGCTAGCGAATCTACGAACCATTGTCACATACAAGAGTAAGGGAGAGCCGGCTTCTCAGCACTTCAACCGCCACCAGCAATGTTTCGAAGACAAAGCGGCAACAACCGAGAAGTTAGAGGCAGGGTCACTTCTGCGGCGAACACCAAGGATTGCAACTAGATAGTGGCAAAGAGGCGAGGTTGGAAAGTTGGAGTGACGACACCTGGAAGAGTCGAGAATTATTTGATAATTTAAAAGAATATACACTCAACCAAGCAATCAACGCCCCAGCGCCTTGCTAAAGTATGAAGTATAGCGCCACAACACTCAGTTAGCTTCTAGAGCAGCATGCCTCCGGGCTTCTTTGGACGCCTTTCTCGCTTGATGCATGCTTCTGCCGAAACCTTCGAGTGTATCTTTCCGCCTGTCTAATGCATCTTCTGCCACCTCATCCAGAATAAATCTTCCCATGCCTCCTGCACGCCATCTCTGAATAAATTGAAGTGCCGCAGCCTCCATATCTGGGAAACCGCCCTTCTTCAGACGACCTTGTTTCCTTGCCAATCTGTCCAAGACTTGATGTACGTCATTCGACGGCTCAGAAAACATGCTATAGAAACTGGGATCTCGCAAGTTGAGGTGAAAGAGGAGATAGTCAGCAATAGTGGTAGGCGGTACAACGGTGTCTTTGACATTGCCACAGAGTGCTAATTTCAGCATGCTCTCCGCGTCTGGTACGTATGGCACAAAAACACCTGGCGTGTCCAAAAGATACACGCCCTCACTCTCCTTGTCCTTCTCCACGATCTTGACCCCTGAAGCAATCTTCCTTGTAATCCCAGGCTGATCTCCCGTTCTCGCCGCCTTCTTGAGCCCCAAGCCCACATTGCGCAGAGCATTGAGCAAGGACGACTTCCCCACATTCGGCATCCCGACCACCATCATCCTCGATCCAACGAGATGATTCGACGAAGCAGCATGATCCTTCGCAAACCGTAAAACTTGTCTCACAGCATTGCGATCCTTCACATCGGCAAATAGCGCTGAGGAAGGCCGGTCCCATTGTCGAATGATCTCTTCTTTTGCCTGATCTAAGGCGGTGTACGTGCTCCCCAGATCTTGCTTTGTGTAGACTATAAGCCGGGGTCGCTCGCCCAAGGTCTCCTCAAATAAAGGATTCCGGGATACGAGGGGCGTGCGATAGTCGCGGCATTCAATGACGAGGTCGATTTGGTTGATCAGGCTCTTCATCTTAGTGAGGCCAGCGGCGTGGTGGCCGAGGTAATAGGATCGAGGAATGGAGTCGAGGTGGGGATACACCCTTCGCGGGACAAAGGTCGCCATCGATGACTTGTACTCCTACTTGGCGAAACCATGCTGGATTGTTACTAAGTCATTGCTGACAACTTTTGCCAGTCCTGAATTCAATAGTCAAAGGAAGGACTTGGTCCAACAACCAAGCCCAAATCGTCAACGCCAGGGGATGTGACATTTTAGATGAGAGGCTCAGACTAACAAAGTCCACCACGTACTTTCTATCCATTCTGTCATTCTATCACTCTGTGTCGGATGATCCTCGGCAATGACCTCTGATAATTTGTTCTTTTGCAACGACGCTCATTTATTGTTCAGGAATTGGTCAAGATTCCTCCACGCGTGAATATATCACTCGTATTATTATGTTGAATGAAGGCTGCATGGACTCGTTCGAACTGAGATAGCTCATGCTGTCCACGGTATATTGTGGGCATCTCTGTCTCCAGCGGATGGCTCTATTGTCTAGCAAGCAGTATCTTCTCGGATCTATCTAACCATGTCTCTGATAAATGCTTTCCATCCGCCCTCTATGCGATCAATACCTTCCTTAATACGACGCCGATCTTTCGTTCGAAGGAGAGGAAGTGGAAGAGGATATAAAGACCCGTCCGAAAACGATCATCTGGCTAACATCACACCATCCAAACATACACCACGGGCTCTAAAGAAACTGAAAAGTACCGTAGCTTCAGACGGGCCTCTCAAGCCGTTCCCTCCTTTTACGGCAAGATATTCGAAATCTTAGGTGCAGGTATATCTCCGACTGGGTAATTTTTTCAACCAATTGATATTTGCTTCTGCCGTTTTTGTTTTCTTCACCAATCTCCTTCCTAGTATCACCTTAGCTAGTGACTCGTACGTCTTGCCTGGGAAAAGCTAGACAACCATTGAGGTCGTGTTTTAGCACTGGACTCTGCGGTCTCACCTTTTGCTTGTGTTCAATCCAGCCACTTACTATCTTGGGTATGACCGCTCCCTTTTCCGTATTAGCCGAGAATATCTACGATCTATGCGTTCATTCATTTAATGTCATATTTCTACCTTTTACGGCATGGTCTCTGATACACGCTGGCTGCATGCACTGCTTGCTGGCTGTTATCAATGCTCATGACTGGACAATGCGGTACGTGACAATATTCAGCATGGAGATATTTTCCCTGTTCAATAGTATTATGTATTTCCACGAAGCTATCCAGGAAATGCAACGTGCCCACGACATTCTGTCATTCGCTGCGCTCTTGTACGCAGTAATTGGGGCGACAGGCACAATGTTAGTCGCCATTTTCCTTTTTCTACAGCAGAGAATTGGAAACTACTTTTCCATCGCTACGTCAGGACCGGGCTGAAGGAATATACGGCCGCAATCTCGATCGTCCTCTTCATCGCCTACCGCATATTCGAGAACTTTCAAGCTTGGATAATTCGACATTACCTGTAAGTACGCCCTTGCGACTAACCAATCTAAATTGTACACGTTTTTGGTCGACTTTTGGACTTTGCCAGAAGGTTGGATTTTGCAGCGATGATTCTCGGTGCTATAATCACTGCGAACGGTCTTCTTCCACAGGTGACTTTGCACTGGGCAAGCCTGATGCATGTACAACTAGAAGAACATATCATCACCATGGATGGCGAAGACAAAGCAGAGTCTCGACTGGTCCGGCGTGTGTATGAGCAGAGATGGTCAGCATTTTTGTACGCTGCAGGAATTCGGGTTTTTATTTCACCACCTTCCATGCACGTCCTTGCCCTGACCCCAACTCGCGTGTTGATATGATTGTTTCTCTTCACGGGAGAGCAGAGCTTGGGCGTCAACCCTACTCTCTTTCGATTATGCTATATACTCACATCGCCGTCGGAGCTGCCTACACTACCGCCCTCAATCTCGACAGCCAATCCCCCTTGGTGGTGGAAATCATATGCTCCTATACATGGCTACACAGTGGTTCATGCTGCTGTAACCATTTTCATATTCGTGTTCACCTTAACCAAGGCTGCTCCGGCGTTCCCAGTCCTCATCATTGCTCTTGTACCTGTGTGACTGTCATTGATGAACAAAATCTGGAGGCGGGAAGTATTGCGATTCGTGGACGCATGGGCATGCGAGAAAGGCACACCAGAAGATGACTAGGACGATACAGCTCGTACTCTTCGAAATGATGACCAGGGTGTATGGGGATTCGACGGGCAGGATGATATGGGAATGGGTGTCTTCGAGCGAGACAGATTCCGGCTCGAAACACACGGAGGCAGGAAGATGGTGAGGATGCACAAGAACAGACTCAATAACAAGCAATCGAGCAGCTGACATGCGCTCTTCTATGATTCTGCCAATATAGCATTTTCGTAGAACCTTCGCACTCCGTCGTTGTCCAATTATCTCGGCGAGGCTGCGACTGCGTCGCACTCACTGCAATATCCACTTTATCAATGGTGCTCCGGTGTTACAGCGCTACAGATCCCTTAACTTTCCGTTGCGCACATGACCCTCAATGTCCTGCTCAGGTTGTTTCTATGGTTGCGAATGCACGTAAGTCAGCATGAGGAGAGGACAACGTGACGTGGCCATCACTCATGGCTAACCTAGTCAAGATTCACAGGAATGCAAGGTCGTGTCATCAACAAGAGACTGGCGGCCACGTTGATATGTCATTAGTTGGATAAATGTCCCAACAAAGGATGTTCACAGCAATAGATGGGTGCCCAATTCAATAGAGCCAGGCAGAGCCTGGTAACAACACTACACTACGCATACTAGTCATCGTATTATACTTTACTAAAGAATTGTGCACGACCGACCAAACGTATCGAGATATTCACCAGGACCTCCACATGGTCCTTGACCATAGGTTAGAGCTCTGCCGCAGGACAGTTTTGCCGGAAGTGGGTACAATGGCATTGTGCTCGTTGTGGGGAACCACGGCTCTGCTTTACGTGCTACGTAGTAGTTAATTAAAGCGGCACAGCGGACGATCGAAGCGATTCCGGAAAAGGCTCTGCGGTCCGTGGACAGCCACCTAAGTAATCGGCCAATACCAAGATAGCATTGCAGAGCCCCCATCCGTAGTACGTAGTAAACCTCTTTCGTTAATTCCTCTGTTCAGCGTCCAAAGATGAACCCCCGCCCCGAACTCAGCAGCGCCACGCCAAAAGGAGAAGGCTCGATTGAGCTATGCACCATTCCCGAAGCATCTTCTATGCCGACCTTAACCCTACGCCAATTCGTGGAAACCAGTGCTAGTGCTAGTGCTTCAATGGACGTGGGGTTGGCAGCCCTCGACATTCTTCGCGTCACTCCCAAGTCCCCAAGTCCCCAAGTCTCCATGGCTGGAATCTTCCCTCTAACTAGTCGTGCCTGCCGTCCTCTCCGTCTCGCCTATCTCCATCAAGGGCCCTCGGACAGTGTGCCGTGCTCTGCTCACTCGTCACGGCATGATGATTTTTAGTGACTCGAAATCATGACTCGGGCCTTATACAGTTCGGGAGTGCTTTGGCGGCGAGACCCTTCAATATAGCTTGCTTCACTTTATCCTGAACCGGCATCTTAATCACATTACCATAACCCACATCCTTCATCTTCATGAACTCTGGTACATCTCAATGATTCACATGAGTCTGGTGGTCGAGCGCTCCTACTAGATGAAGTTCCTTATCAGCTACCTTAATCATCCAGACTATTTCGAGGTTGCGGTGGGAAGCGCCCTCTGATATTGCATCTTTGACAGAGTCTGATTGGCGGCTCTCTGCGTTGTTTCTTGATTATTCATGGTTTTCCAACTGGTCTCTTATTTCTGTTCATAACTCTGGAGATCGTGAGAGCTTTAATCTTTCGGTCGTTTCTGCACCAATTACGTTATCAGGATGGAGGAAATATACCTGCTCGTCTTAGGCAGTGTCTTCTGCCTGACTACCATCACCTACCTAGCGCTGAGTCAGGCACAAAGGGATGTTCTGTTTAGACGTCTTCGGCTTCGTGGAAGACGAGCATCAAGTGCCAACACTCCACCGCGCTCCTTGTCTCCGGGAAAGAAGGGTCACATATCCGTGCCGTCTCCCACCGAGTACATCGAGAGCTTTCCAGGATCAAGACGGGAAGCACTTGCCAAAGTCATGGAGACGATACCTCAAGCCAGCGGAGGCGATCTTGTGGGTCTAGAAACCGAGAAGAGCATGACTTCGGATATGATGATGCCCTATGAAGCAAACTACATGGAGGTCGACCATTCCAAGCATACTCCGACCGGCTTTTCTGTTGGAGAGATCAAAGCTCTAGGGGACTTTCCCAACTATGCCGAGCTAAGTGGAGTGCCACTTCCCAAACCATACACCGGTTTCAATATCGATGAAGCCCTGCCACGGCCATATCGACCGTTCAGATGGTCCTACCACCAGACAATGTGTATGTTCATATCCGGATGTTGCAGGATATCTTGCTGACCTGTATTAGCACTCCACAAACTTGAACCAGACTGGTGGCTTGAGCTTGAAAACACATACAAGTCACGAATTGCCCAGAGAAAAGGCCTGTACGAGCAGCACGGTAAGGCAGTCTTACAGTGGCTCCCTGGTTCAGAGCTGGCCTGCAAGGAGCTGATGGAGATGGTGTTGCAATTCCTCGTTGCTCGCTACCCACACTACTTCTCCTTGTCTGCTGATAAGAAGACATTTACCAATCGCATCCTGAACACTGTCCAAGATGTGAAGGCAAAGCATCCATTATTGATCATATTTGACAATGTACCTGAGGACTTCGCAATCATGCTTCGAAACCCAGAGACTGGGTATTACTCCTTCAGAGCTGGGGTCATCTGTTCGGCTCTTGGTTGGAACGTTGGCTCGAAAATTGGTCTTCAACTGCATCAAATACATGCTCCAATTCCAGATTACAAAGAGAAGATGCAGTTTTCGATGGATCGGTACGTTTCTGTTTAGACGTATCCACATAGCAACTGATGTATCAATCAGTTACTTTTCCAAAATGCCAACGGAGAAACCTATACAACGAGGTTCGTGGGGTCTTGAGGTGGACAAGCCACTGTACATGCCGCCTGGAGATCCGCATGAGAAGTTCAGAGAAGTGCAATCACCAGAAGTGACTCTCGATAGATGTCATCTACGAGTTGACTGGCAGACCTTGCGTCGTTTGCCCCTGTCTAGCGCTATCGTCTTCAACTTCAAGGCTCTTTTTACCCCTGTCACCGAGTTTCGAGACGAGCCATTCATTCCTGCCATCGTCCACAAGATCCTCAAGGAAGGCAAGAAGAGTCTGATGGAGTACAAGAATACGTGGCATGTCGAGCATGTCTGTGTTCCGGCATTGGAGCAGTATGCAAACGAACAGGTTGAGAACGGGCTTGTCCCGAAAGATTGGGAAGTACAGACCTTGGACGATCCGCCATTTTTCCCGGGATGGAATAAGAAGTGGAGGACGCAACAAGGCTTTTGACCGCCCTTTCGCTTTAGTGAATCAGTACTCACTGCAACACATAACTATCGAACGAGTCCATAATTGACAAGCTTTGCGTCTGGCTGGTCCGTGTTCTATTGTCCCTGGGATAGATGTCCCGGGATAGTGGATTAATAGATGGATATTGTACAGCGGTATATTTTACAGTGAATATAGCAGAACATATCAATAATGAGGAACCGTCTTTTGCTGCACAACCTGAACAAGAAAGGTCGCCTTGACCGGGCATTTTACCCAGAAAGACAGTTCCCGACCCTTCCAGTCTATTTCACATAACAAGACTCAAAGAGATTAATTTTTTTTACCCCTAACATCATGTCCTCAGGATCCCCAGAGATCATATCCCAAGAGCCTAGCTCTCGCCATTTTCGTACTCGAGGACGAGGACGAGTACGAAGGCTAGTATAGGGCTTACCGTGGGCTCTTAGAAACCCTGTTTAACCACTCACAGGTACCTAGTAGTAAGTAAATAAGTAACCTCCCCCCGTTCTCTCGTCCGTCACACACGCAGGGATCTACACCCCCTCAACGCAACGGAGCGCTCCGCTCGGCTCCTCAACGAAATAAAATCTAAGGGGAAATATTTCGTATCGAACCACTGAGAGGGTGACGAATCGAGAGTTCCGCATCGTATTATCATCATCATCATCATCATTCTTCTTGTTACATTGCCAACCAGGCTGCTTGTCTCTTTGATGGCGAGGACCGGGGCAATCTAGCGTGGTCTTTCACAAGTAAAGTATTTCCACTGCAACGGCGGTTGGGGAGCAAGCATCTTGGGATCCCATAACCACTTCTTATTATTTATTTTTTCTTGACCACGACTCGTCCTCTGTTGCCCTGGTTGGCCGACATCTGCTGCTCTTGGTATAGCTACGTTGGAAATAGCAAGGATACGCTGGTGATGGCTCCGTTCCGGGCATCTTGACTGGTTTCTCAAATTACGATAAGTATTTACGCGAAGATTGTTCGACGGACCAAGACGACTCCTGTAGGACGAACGTTCATATATCGGATCCGATTTAACTTGCTGTGGGCTATCATCACGACTTCGGACCTGATCTACAAGATGGCGGTATGTACCTCGTCCTTCCTCGCCTCGGATTCCCCATCGCACCATGACCTTCCGCCTCGAGCGGGCTCCTCTCCCTCTCCCTCTCCTGCTCCACCGCGTCCATTATCACCAGGGAGGTCGTCTTCATCCTTCCCGGTCTCCGCGAAGGGTAATGTGATCCCTTTTGACCCGGCCAGCCTCATCGCGAACGGCCAATCCGTTCTCCTCGCTGCTACCGTACCCCTTTCCACGACCCGGCCAGATGTCGCCCGCTTTATCGGGCTGGGCATGCTATCCACTTGCATCGCTGCCACTAGATCACCGGCAGAAGAGGTGTGTGTAGGAATCGAAGACGTCGCCAGACCACTGGCCGAGGGCAGCCTGGATGGATGTGGGGACCGCAAAGACGGAGCAGGTAGTGAAAGGGTGGATTTGCTAGTGCTTTCCCTGGTCCCATGTTCCCAAAGCGAGGAGGAGGAGGAGGAGGAGGAGGAGGAGAAGGAGGAGATACACTTTTACCACGAGACTCTTCGACAGATTCTTACCAGGAAGATCCCAGGTGCCAAGCTTGGTTTGGCAGTGCTACCTGTCAACGATCTGATTCCCGCCACAAGACCTGAGAACGAAGCGCCGACAGGCAGAAGCGCAGCAATAGGAAAAGGAACTGGCGCAGGCTGGGTCCTGACCGCAAAGATCGCGGGAGCTCTTGCAAGCATGGGATATTGCTTTGATGACGTAAAGACGGTTGCGCGATTGGTAGGTGAGAATGTCAGGACCGTAAGGTCGATGTCGAGCAGCAGCACCGGTACTAGCACCGATATCGCTCTGACAGAAGAAGCGAGCCAAAAGGGTCTGGAGAACCTGATTAGAGACATGTTAGTCCGTCTCCTGCAGCCCAACCTTGAGGGCACCGCAGGCATACGAGTAAACTCCAACGAGCCGGTCCTACTGCTTAACGTCCATGCACCTACCACAGACCTACAAATCCAGTCCCTATCGACCCGCACAATTGCGCAACTCTATGATACATACCATATCAAGCCCGTGCGTGTCTACGCTGGAGATTATCATATAAGAGACCCGGACAGAGATGGAGATGGAAGAGAGAAGAACGACTTCAGCATCTCGATCCTGAATGTCGTCAATACCAATATTGGTGGGCCGAGCATGATCCAGTTATTGGACGAGCCGTGTGGGGCTGACGGGTGGAGGGTAGGTGTAACGAAAGAAGAGTGGGAAACGTGCGATGGGTCGATAACGGCAGTGGTTGAGCTGGGTATGAGGAATTGGCAGACGAGTCTAGATCGGCTGGTGGACGTAAAGTCTGTAAGGCTGGCAAGTACACGAGGAGATGACGGCAGCTTCGACCATACAAAGCGCTTAGGGCATGAGGCAGACGAAGGCGTGCTCTGCACTGGAGCGCGGCAACGGCAGGTAGCCGGCGACGAGACAGCGGACCCCAATTGGGGTGAAACATCTGCTGCTGAAGATGAGGAGGAAGACTCTATGAAGAGGGAGATGGTCGATACAGGAAAGCAGTACCAGGAGGAGGCGAAAGAGCAGGACGCTTCAGAAACCAAGGAAACTGAACCTGGAGCAGACCAAGTGGAGACTGTGGTAGAGCCAGATGAGAAATCTGGTAAGAGTGGGAGCAATGATGATGCCATGAACAAAGACGCTGAACAGGGCAAGAAAGGTAGCGAGCATACCCTACCTGTGAGTCCGGGTTCAGTAAGCCCAGCATCCGGCGAAGAGTATGAAATTGTTGATCGCGAGCAGACTCTGATCGATATGGTCTTTAGTCACGCAGAACGACGATAGCTGCCTCCCTGAAGGGTAAACCCCTCTTCTAGCAAGTGTCCAAACACGCTTGCCCGGTTGTTTCCAGACTATGCTCAGATTGTGCTCAGATTGTAGAGAGCACGTTACTGGCTCCGTGGCTGTCCTTTAATTTGAGCTCCACCATGGCTTTGAGTAGCATTCGCTGAATTTGAGGACGCTGCTTCGGTTGTCACAAGACCTTGGACTGGGAAAGTTTCAGAAAGTTTGCTGTAGGACTTAGGCTCGTTAGCATACGATAGCTCCTAAACCACCGTGACTGTTCTTCGAGGAAGAGCATAGAAGAGCTCTCTGGTTCTCAAAGTTTTCGAGCCAATATTGCCCCTGGGCGAACCATGTCGATGTGTCTCGCTACACAGACTTCCCTGCTAATGCCAAAGTTATCGACACATTGGTACATGATGCAGCGAGGTCGGGCTTGCAACACCATCGGCGGTGTCATTGCAACAGCGTCGGAGCCATTAATGACTTGATCGGTTCCATTCAGCCTTTTGGACCATTGGCGCTTTGGAAATGGTCTGGATCGAGCAATGGGCCTGCTGCTGGTAGTCGGAGCTCGTTGGAAGACGACATTGGAGCTGTGATAGGTATCTTCAACCTTCGCTACTCGAACTCCTTACAACGGGACTGGCCCCGCCTTCACTGCCATTGTGTGGGTCTCCATCCTCATCTTGCTCCATTTCATCCAGCTCCGCTTGGAGCGGACTCACCCTTTCCTCCAGCATATCCAGATCCTCCAACTGCTGCCTCCCGGGCAACTTCCATAAGCTCGTAGCGCAGCTCCTATCCTTCGTCAAAAGCTCGTCGATGAATTCATCCATGTGCACCAGCACATAACCTTCCTTGCGTCTTCGCCTCAACTTGCGAGCATCGGTCAAGAAGGGTTCAAGCGTTGTATAAATATCCACGGGTTCGAAAGTTAAGCGCACATAGAATGCAGCAAGGGCGCGCAAATATTTCCACTCTTCACCGCCCATGTTCAGGTACTCCAGCACAATCTCTTTTTCAGGGGTGAGTGTGAGTAGCTTGAAGGCCAGACAGAGAAATGGTGTTGGGCGCATCCCAACGCCGTAGGTGCCGCCGATGTAGCTGAGATCGACGGCACGATCGAGCAAGGTAGCTGCATTGAGGCCGAAACATTGTTCTTTCCAGTAGAGAGACTCGGTGATGCGGTCGCGGACAGCCGTCTCGATCAAGGTTATGGGGTTTGCACCGCGGATCAGAGGGCCAGTGTAGCCTCGATTGTCTAGGGAGGATGAGGCGTCAGCGCGATGCGTCATGGTGTCACCGGTTTTACAGATCTGATAGAGTTCATGCTCCCTTGCGGGCAGCAGTGTCCAGGCAGGTCGTGGAGCGGCTGGAGGGCTGGAGCAGAAAGTTGGGAATTTTGGCCATCTCCACATCCGTTGCTAGGTGACTAGGCCAAAATGGCAATCTGTTTACGGTATGTAACCAGCTGCTCCCACATACATAGTACGCAAATGTACAACTGACATTTAATCCCATGCTGGCATCGCGCAGTCTTCTGCAGGAGCTTCTGGCTCTAAAAGAAGGTGTGTAGTCTCTTACCTTACGCAATCTACAACAGGGTAGGGAGACTCCTGCCCCACATACACCATGGTCCTCCTTACCTCGTCCTCAATATCTGTCGTTCTGTCCAGCGGGGTCGTATGCATGTTCACATTCCTCCTGTTCCTGTCAGGCTATGTCGTTCAACAGCAGACTGTACGCTCTCTGCAAGCTGCGCTGCATGCGCCGCCAATGCCCACCCCAACATTGCCAGTGTATTTCCAGAAAGGACACGAGAGCGAGTGGACCGAGGTAGCGAACGCGACAGAGCCTGTTGGAAAGAACGCGGCTGAGGCTGAACTAGAATTCCCTGAGGAAAGAAGGCCGTCGGGTTTCCAGACAATCATGAAAAGCGACCCGGAGCCAACTGCTCCGCCATTCAGCGAAGTTGGGATGGAAGTTCAGCCCCTTGTCCTGGGTGAAGCAGTTACTGAGACTTCACCTGCAGCGCAGCTCTCGACACCAAGCGTCCTTTCTGACGAGCGAACCAAAATCGTTGAACAAATACCGTTGACTGCACCTTCAACTCCCGAGCCCGCCTCTGAATCGTCAGCGCGTCTTGCATACGCCCAGCTTCTCAGCAATCCATCACAGATTTGTAGTGCCCTTCTTTTCTTCAGGCAGCAGATGGAGCATGGCGACCCCGACATCAGCCGCATTATACTTTATCCCTCACTGTGGGATGAGGACAGCTCATCTGATGCATATAGCAATGCTATAACGCTCATGTGGCTGGTCAAGGATCAGTACAAGATCGTATATGAATCATTCATAGTCGAAGACTCATCGAGAGAACGGAGTATCGAAAAAGAACTGATCGCTCATCTTGCAACAGACAATTGGGGACTTGACCGAATAATGTATCTCCGCAGCCCAGGCTTAGCGCTCAACATTCCAGCTCTGGACTCAGCGCTGCAAGCCTCAAAGAGAAATTCCTCGCTGTCTAGAGGTTGGGCTAGTGCGAGTGTTGAGCCATCCGCGGACCATCCAATATTGTTGATCTCAGATGAGGGGACACACATGCCGCGAGGCAGCAACAGACGCTTGATCGCAAAGGCGTTCACATCACACGCAAATCACCATGAGAACGAGATGGACGTGGAAGCTGCTGCGCGCACGGCAGCTTATGTCCATTTCGAAGAAGGGGAGCTTGAGCACCGAAGAACGGAGAAGGAATGGTATGGAGGGGTATTTGAGAAGTACGAGAGAGGAAGAGCGGAGGTTTGTAGGGATATCAGTTTTGATGATAAGAGGACAGAGCTCAGGAAGACCAAAAGGAGAGGATGGAGGTGATCTCAGATGTCTAGGTTCAGCCAGTTGGATATAATAAGATTGAATGCATTTTGGAGTGAGAGAGTTGCAAAGCGTCACCAGCTTATGATTGAGAGGATGCGTCGATACTGTGTGACATCCTACTTTGACGCAGGTAGCCGAAATCATATGCACCATGGACACAGCAAAGTGACGTCGAATCTTCTTTCTCCACATTTGCCATTTGCCATTTGCCGAATACTGTAACACCCTTCGCCGGACCAAGTTCTATGACTAGGACCAGATACAGCAGCTGATCACGCTGGATCCAATCCGCATTTTCTATGTGTTCGAGAAGCAGTAGGGCAGAGGTTTCATGAGCAACCCGCACTTTGCGGCGAAGTAAGGCATGCTTGAAGGTGCACGAGTCGCTTCCATCCGGACGCGAAGTGTGATTGCCGGACAAATCCTCAAGCCATCATGGTTGGCATTAGGCAAGGCCACCTAGCACTTCCAATGATCAAAGAGAGGGCATTGATCATTCTAGCAGTAGCTCTCTGTGTGTTGACCATGAATATCATGAGCATCCCCACCGGTCAGAGATTTCGAGAGCGACGAACGGGTGGCGCGGATGTTCGCCTTCCCTATCTGGTCTATGCGATCATGACCATGACGCTAGTTCGCGACAGGCGGTTGGATATCACTTCAAGTTCTCCCTACATATAAGTTGATGTTGACAAGGCCTTAGTGCTCCACCTTCCTTTGCCCTGTGACAATACCCTTTGACAGATCCCACCTGCAGCGTATGTTGGCAAATGTTTCCATCCTACTAGGCAACAAGGCAGCTTTATATCATAACCCTCGGACTCTGCAGAAAAAAAGCTCGTGGACAACCACCGCCACAATCAAATTGCTGCACCACATACCTCCCTGACAGACATCGATCCTAATACTTCGAATCCCTTTTGCGCTGTATCTTCCTTTGACAGAATGACTTCCAAATCAGCAGCAAAGCTCATCCCCTCTGACCCAGCAAAGGTCATGGTTTTTCGCGACATCCTACCGAATATGGCTACTATAAGCTCCCCCTTCGCTCGATTCGGACTATTCAAGGTTGGAGGTCGAGCCACGATCATCAAGCTGCAGACAGGTGCCCTAGCAGTCTTCTCGCCGGTTGCCCTCACAGATGATGTGCGATCAAAGGTACAGTCAATGGGCAACAACGTCAAATACATCTCAGCGATGGATATCGAGCATCACATATTTATTACCCCATGGGCCAAAGCTTATCCACAAGCTGAAGTTATTGGAGTTGAGGGATTACCCGAGAAGCGCGAAAAGGACCCTTCAACCAAAGGCATCACATTCTCTCATGTGTTTACGCAGTCAAATAACAAGGACATGAGAATATCGGAGGAGTTTGACGAGGAGTTTGAATATGAGTTCCTTCACTCTCACCCCAGCAAGGAGCTCATCTACTACCACAAGCCGTCCAAGACCATGATACAAGCAGATTTCATCTTCAATCTTCCAGCATACGAGCAGTATTCCAAAAGCGGAGAAGGAGCAACCTCTGGCGTGTTCACCAAGCTTTTTACTGGTCTCATGAACACAAGGAACGACATCACCTGGCAGAGAAGATTCGTCTGGTACGTGTTGAGCTCAAAAGACAGGGCTGGTTTCTCCGAGTCTGTCAATAAAATGAAGCGCTGGGAGCTACAGAGAATCGTCCCTTCTCATGGTGATGTTATCGAGTCTGAAGCCCAAAGTGTCTTTGACAAGATTACCCGCTGGTTTCCTGAAGGACATGAGAAGAAGTGATCAGCAGTACGATCAGATCTTACATCAGCTTACGTGGGGAGTTTAATGTTAATCATATTAGGCACATATTTCTCCACGATCCATTAGCCAACTTTCCAAGCACTTTGTACAGCACCATATCCGGTGTGTAGGTGTGCCTAACCCCTCAGGCCCTCATATCGTATCCTGGAGATAGCTTGTGCTGGTATGGAGAAACTCCTGCTGGGGATTCCCTTCGCACGCCTTATATGCTAGGGAAGCAAGCACTATGGCAAAGTCGATGGCGCTTGCGATTGTATCATACCATGGTCCCAACTTGCAGCTTCCTACTGATTGAAAAACAACAGCCGAGGTCGTACGGCAAGGACCCAGGGCATAGTATATTTATCGTTATTTCTTCAAAATCGATGTCTACTTCTTCTTGTTCCCATCTGCAGCTTCAGCATACTTCCATGGTCCATCAATCAGCCTGAACACCCACATCTCTTCATTCCATACCCATTGTTCCAAGTACAGCATACCTTCCAGGTTGCATTGGCCAATATGTATTCCACCACAAGCGTCGCTTTTTGGGTGCTCCGCGTTGGTCAGCTCCTACTTGCCTGTGTAAGTCTTCCTCGAAGCCCATTTCAGCAAAGATTGACAATCTCTAGGTTGTAGCTGGCATCATCGGATCCTACCTTCATGACTTCAACCATCGACATTCTTGGCCGAGGAAGCGGTTTATTTTCGCCGAGGTGCTTGCCGCGCTGTCCATCCTCTGCAGCCTGCTTTGGCTCCTCCTCTCCCGTGGTGGACTCTGGCCTCTCGACTTGACACTTGCATTGGCTTGGTTCTCCACCTTCGGTCTTCTTATAGACTGGCTGCACGGTCATGCTTGTGGAGGCACTTTTGACGGGTCTGAGATCACCTCTGCTGGCTATTGCAACCAATTGAAGGCGGTAGAGGCCCTCAGCTTTTTGAGTGCCATCTTCTGGTCCCTCAGCGCTATCATTGGGATCTATTATATGACTAGGGCCAGGAAAGGGCAGTCTGATGCTATCAACGAGACCGGGTAAGCTTTTTCAGATCTCTATCTCTATAGCGTTTGAAGCTAAGCGATGCGGCCTCAGCAACATCCGCCGACGTTGGTACCAGGGCCCTCGCGTCTAAAGGCAGACCGAACTGAGCCTACCCGCTTCTTGTGGGCGTAGCTGGGTTCGAGAGGCCTCAAAAACGGTCAGCTAGCAACCGATTACTGAAGGATGTCTGGAGCCGGGCGTTTTTGATAAATTGTTGTCGTGGGGATAGATGGAGACTGGCGGGATGTGTTCTTTCTCCTTATAGCAGTCTGCCCTGTACAACCACAGATGTGGGAAGATTATCATTCTTCAACAGTCGCTATTGCCAGAAGTGTTGAATCAAGCACGCAAAAGCTGTGCGAAGCATCCGAGACTTCAATCTTATTTGCATGGGGACTCATGTGGGATACTCGGCTAACCTTTACCTTGACCAAAGCGCAGGAAGGATGAACCGAGCCGCGACCCCTTCTATTGCAACATATTTCTCCCAGTCCTATACTCCTTCCTCCGTAATAGCAGCATCAGTCATGCAAACGACTTCTTTTAGTAAAGCCTCCTTCCATTTCATCTTTCGCGTGGTAGAATCGATGATCAGATAGGCAGGGTGCTCTCGACATTGCTCTCAGCCTCCTCATCAGCCACGATAACATCGATGCATAAATCCTCTGCCCCTCACCGCCCCATCAAGATGGCTGTGTGTAGTTGGGACCCCCGATCTTATGTGACTGCTATGCCCTACTCTTGTGTCCCCAAAGACATCCCAAAGCCCAATAAAGTCGTGGCCTTTCGTAATCGTTATCATGCCACGTTTTGCCTCATGTCTGGTCAGCGGCCTGCATGAGCTGAGCGAATTGCCTCAGGTGTTTGGTGGAATGCTCATACCCGGTGATTGGCCGTGTCCAGCTTCTAGCATGGATATCGAGGTAGGCATCCGAGCTCTTGAGCCCCAGGGCGCTGCAAATCATACCTGTGACATCTGTTTGTCCCCTTTTGCGGTGTTTGATTTAAGCATGTGCCTGATAAAATTTCTGAATGAGAACAACTGTATCTTACACCTCGCTTATTCTGCTTGCCTGTTACTCTAGTCTTTGTACCTGCAAGCAAGGCACTCCCACAAGGCTCTAAATGCTTTGTATCTTGTCAGAGATTTCTATGTGTTCCCAAGCTCCAATCCATTCTCAATAGCGGAACGACTGTGTCTTTGCTCGTTCTAGTAGGTGTGGTACTACTGGTTGGCAACGACATAAGTTCATTGGTTCTCCTCTTCTGTTGGGATCATTATGGTGGAACAGCATACACGGTACATTTCAATTTCCCCCGCCTTCCCGAATACAATTCAATGTCGACTTACAGTTCAATGAAGCAAGCCCCAGGTCTGCAAGTACTTTCGAAGTGGTCGTTGTCGCTTTGGAGACGGATGTCGTTTTAGTCACGATCTTGGTGCAGATGGAGGTGCTACCGATGTCGGAGAAACAGCGAAACGTGGGCAGACGCCTGGAAGCTCCTCCTACGCCCGCCTTCGCGCCTGGAAGTTCAAAATACCTCGAGATACCCTGCGCATTCCACCGCTTGGCAGTGATGAACTGCAAGGTTTCCTGACAATCGCCTTAGATTTGGTAACTAGCGACGAGCCCGACATTGTACAACAAGTTGTGGAGTCCCTGGCTTCGAACGGCGGTCTCGCCAGAATCAGCGAAGCGGTAACAACAGCTGCAGCTCCTTCGTCTGATCGCCAATGCCTCCAAAATGGAGAGTACATGTTACTTCCGCTCTTCAATGTACTTACACACCCTGACGTTACCCAATCCTTCATACTTGAAAAGCCCTTGAGCGACATTTATTGTTCTCTGTACGGTATCGGAGGCCGTCGTGCCGTCTCCTGTTTCTCAGCAGCTGCGCGATTTCTGTCTTTGTTCGATGCACCTTCAGCTGAAAAGTCCAGAGCTGTTGTCGCAGTGTTGACTTGTCTACACAACGTCATAGAGCTGGTTTCGAGTGCAAAGGTGGTTGAGGGTATCCATGCAGTAGTGAAGACTCTTGCAAAGCTGCTTAAAGACGATTTGAAATCGTATTCTGAGGTTCAGCGGCTGTTTCAGCGTATCGAAGACCGTCTGCAAGAAGGAAGTGCCATGCCCATTGTCGACTACTCACACAGGACGTCGGCAGTTGTCCCTCTCCTTGGTGCTCTCCATCTGGAGCGTGATCAACCAGGTCAGCTCAGTTCCAAAGGCGCTCGGCATGACAACGATCATGACGACATCAGCCGCATTTCGATTCTGCCTACAGCATCAGAGGTATTGTCTGAGAGAGCCGAATATCTTCCTGTCAGGGATCCTCGACATCTCCACCTAGGTGGTGTGAAAGGACTTCTCGACCGACACTTTCGCTTGCTTCGTGAGGACACCATAGGCCAACTACGGGATAGTGTTCGTGCAGCGATCGACACTTTACGAGATCCATCTGCACCCGAGCTCGTGTCCAGCAAATTACAACAGAACATCCGCAGATTTGCATATAAAGATGTCAAGCTTATGAAAGTCACCTTTGCTCGAGTCACTGGCTTACAGGCTCATCTTTCTTTCCCTCAACCAAAGCCAGCTCTGCAGAAGTCTGAGCAGATACGACGACAGTGGTGGGAGCAGTCAAAATGTTTATGCCATGATGCGCCGCTGTGCTTGGTGGATGCTGCTCAGAACGTCACCTTTTTCACGGTTTGTGGCAACCAAGCAGGTGGAGGTGCATCCGATACCAACAGCTCAAAGTTGTTGTATCAAGATCCTCTAATGGCCAATGTCATCGTTCGGTTGGTTGAACCGTATGAGCTTGACATTGAACGCCTTGTGACATCTTTGTCGAGTCCTACGTCTGGCGCACGTGTGCTGTGCGAGTTTCCCGGGGTACTGTTGCCTTCTTTCTATCCGACTTTGAAAGCCCTCCAGAAAATGAGCAAAACATTAGATCTACCTTTCGCCGATATCATCGCCCCTACCGACACCAATCGTGGTATAACTAATGTTGGGCCAGCTCCCTATGCAATGAAGTCCGGTTTCAAATTCGACCTTAAGAGCATTGTTGGGAACGAACATCTAGAGCTGTCTATGGCTGATAGATTTGATTTTGCGACCCTTGCAGCGAATTCGTCGCTCGATGAGGCTCAACAGACAGCGGTGATTGATGCACTTTCCCGAGAGCTAGCCCTGATACAAGGCCCTCCAGGCACAGGCAAATCGTTCACGGGAGTTGCACTAATCAAAGTGCTACTTGACAACGCCTCTAAAGCTAGACTCGGGCCGATTGTGTGTGTCTGCTACACTAATCATGCCCTGGATCAACTGCTTGAGCATTTAGTCAAAGACAACATTAAAGGAATCATAAGAATTGGCTCGAGGTCCAAATCCGATCTTGTGCAGCGCTTAAACCTTCGTGAAGCCATGCAGTCAGAAGAGCGGACCTCCACGGAAAAACGCCACTTTGCATCTAACAAGGCCGAAATTGAACGCTATTCTGAGGAGATGGAGCCGTTACTGGAAGATCTCATGAACCACAATCACCCAAAGATAGTCCGAGACCTTCTCCAACGCAAATTTCCAGAACAACACCGTCAATTATATGAAACTGAAAAAGACGATGAAGGCTTTGAAGTTGTCGACCACGATTCACGTGAACCCCTGATCAAGTGGTTGCACCCTAAGTGGACAAAGCGCAGCCGACTCGAAACTAGGTTGCCAGGGACAAATCGACCGCTTAACCTGCTAAAACATGCTAATGTTTGGAGCATGGCTCTTCAAGAGAGATTGAAGCTCTATGAACACTGGATAGAGATCGCCAAAGACGACACGCTTGCTCAATTATCGTGGATGCTATCGACTGTCGGTGGGCATGTGGAAGAGCTGGCCCAGTGTCGAAGGGAGGATGAATTGCGGGTCCTGGCGAAGGCCAAAGTCATTGGTGTGACGACCTCGGGCCTTGCGCGCAATTTAGACGTCCTTCGCCGGGTTCAAGCAAAGGTGATGGTATGCGAAGAAGCTGGAGAAGTTCTTGAGGCGCATCTCCTGACTGCATTACTCCCCTCTGTGGAGCATGCTATATTGATCGGCGACCATCAACAACTCAAACCACAGATAGCAAACTACGAGCTCTCGTCGGAAAACCCACGTGGTGTGCAATATTCCCTGGATGTCTCACTGTTTGAGCGCTTGTTATATACGAACGATCCTCAAGCGGTTCCCATTCCGTATTCGGCGCTTCGAACTCAAAGAAGAATGCACCCTTCGATCGCCCGCCTTATCAGAGAGACACTATATCCTGGCCTTGTCGATGAACAGTCGGTTCATGAGTATCCAGCGGTCGAAGGTATGAAAAGTCGCTTGTTCTGGTTTGACCATGATCATCCGGAGAATAGCGATGAACGACGAGAGTCAACGTCTCACACAAATGACTTTGAGGTTGAGATGGTTGCCGCACTGGTACATCATCTTGTCCGCCAGAGCAGATACAACAGCGAGGATATCGCGGTCCTTACGCCCTATCTGGGCCAGCTTATCAGGCTAAGGAACAGACTGGCAAGCTCATTTGAAATTGTCGTGGGAGATAGAGATCAAGCAGAGCTCGAACAAGAAGGTTTTAACGCCGATTCTGCACACACAAGTCCAGTGTCAAGGGCGAAGAAGACTAGCCTTTCGAAAGCAGTCAGGATAGCGACGGTCGACAACTTCCAAGTAAGTGTTGTAAGAGGAATCGAAGCACATATATAATAACTCTCTTTGTTAGGGTGAAGAAGCGAAAGTGGTAATCGTTTCCCTAGTGCGCAGCAACCAGGAGAGAAGATGTGGCTTTCTCAAAACTAGTAACAGGATCAACGTCTTACTCAGGTATGTGGTCAAGAACAAGAACTGTATGCCTTCGAATACTAACCAGTCATCTACCAGTCGCGCACAGCACGGGATGTATCTATTTGGCGACTCAAGCACATATAAGCGCGTCAAAATGTGGCAGCATGTCATCCAATTGCTAGAAGACAGCAACTCCCTTGGAAAATCGTTAGCCCTCCATTGTCCAAGACACCCGGATACTGCCATTGAAGTTGCCACACCTGACGATTTCGCCGTTAAAGCACCTGAAGGGGGCTGCGATCTGATGTGTGATGGGAAATTACCCTGCGGCCACAAATGTATCAACAAGTGTCATAACATTGTCTTACATCAAGAAGTTTTCTGTCGCAAACCTTGCCCGAGAGCACTGCCTGGCTGCGACCATGCCTGTCCTTTGCCCTGTGGCGCAACCTGTGGACCATGCAAGGTCCAGCTCCACGATGTCAAGCTACCCTGTGGCCACGTTGAAGCAAGTCTGGACTGTTACCTGGCGCAGAATCCAATCCGTGCCAGGTGTCGGAAGATTGTCCAAGTCAAGGTTCCCTTGTGTGGACATACCGCAGAGAGGCAATGCTGTGAGCTTGACCCGGGGCCGAACTATCAGTGTATGGCTGAATGTGGCGGAATCTTGCCGTGTGGCCGTGAGTGCGGATCTAAGTGTCACATGTGTAAACCTAGGGAAGATGGCAAGATTATTCGAAATGACCATCCACCCTGCAGAAGGACCTGTGAACGACCTTACAATACTTGCAGTCATTACTGTAAGGAACCTTGCCATCCCGGGTCTGAGTGTCAACTCTGTTCGAGGCCTTGTGAAGTCCGCTGCGCTCATTCCAGGTGTGCCAAACCTTGCAAGGAACCTTGTGCACCTTGCGCGGAGGATTGTACGTGGGGATGCCCTCACACCGGGAAGTGCGATCTACCCTGCGCTGTACCTTGCAGCAAATTGCCATGCTCTAGGCGTTGCGAGTCAATCTTGCCTTGTGGACATCAGTGTCCGTCGGTCTGCGGCGAGACGTGCCCCTCCACCAGTTACTGTCAGACTTGCTGCCCAGAGAGTACAAAAGGTACCGTGGTGGATTATCTCCTCTCCGGTACCTATGGCGAGACGAACCTTGATGAAGATCCGTGCCTTGTGCCAGATTGTGGGCATCTGATGACAATGTCCTCCATGGACGGATTATTTGGTCTCACGGAGTACTATGAGACGGACAGTGATGGTGCAATCATAGCTTTGAAAAGGTCCTCCGTGCCATTCTCTGCCGAAGAAATCAAGGGTTGCCCGGTCTGCCGTGGCTCGTTACGTAATATCAACAGATATAGCAGAATCATTCGAAGGAGCGCGATCGATGAAGCCACCAAGAGATTCATTTCTTGGAGCAACACAGAGATCTTAAGGCATGCGGACGGGCTTCACAGTATTCAAGAACAGTTCGCAGCAGATCAGGATATCGCCCAGCTTTGTGGAGATGGAGATTGGCGCACGACACTGGACTCTGAACTTAACAGGCAGTCGGACACCATGATTCTAGAGGGTCATCGGGGTCAAGTGATGGCTGACATCTCGAGAATCAAATGTTTGAAAAGCCGACACAAACAACCGTACCTACTCAGACGAAAATTGAACAAGTTTCTCCACGAAGTTCGGGAGAGCGAGCAGCCTTTTGTTCGGGTGTGGGATCTCTTGCAGAATCGGAGGCGGCGCGACCTGTCAGGTCATGTTAACAACGATCTTGTTTACGAACCCAGCGTCGTGCAGCTCCGTGCATCTTTGATGAGTCTGTCTCTATCAATCAGGTTCGACATCACCATCATCGCCGATGCCCTTTCCCTACGAAAGAGAATGAACGGTCTTGGCCCACGGTATCATTGGGGTGCTATTGATCTTGACGTCGACTTCTCACAGCTTCGAGCGGAGTGCTTGAATTTGGTTGATCGACTTGCCGAACACCAGCAGCACCGGTTGGAGATCGAAACCAGAGTGTCCTTCGCTCATCTTGCTGCACTTGAGCGATCTGCTATTGCAGGTTCGCCGAAGGTCGACCGATTGAATCATCTCCGTGAGCTGGGCTTGGAGCAACTCAAGTACGCCCGCCAAATCCACGCACGTTACCCGGGCCAAACAAGCGGTGTGATGGAAGAACTCGATGCAATTGAACTGATGCTGAATGACGGAACATTTTACACCGCTGTGACCTCAGAGGAACAGCGGGCTATCTACAAGGCGATGAGTGCTGAGTTCAGGGGTACGGGGCATTGGTATACGTGCGCAAACGGACATCCATTTACGGTGGGAGAGTGCGGCATGCCAATGGAGCAAACACGCTGCCCCTATTGTGGAAGTCCCATTGGAGGCCAACATCACCAGCCAGCGGAAGGAGTTCGGAGTCTTGATGAGGTCGAGGCATCAATGGGCAATATGCATTTGGGTGGTGGAATGTGAGGTGATGATTATCGTCAAGTACAGCAATGAGCTGGGAGGACTATCAAGGCAAAGAGAGTGTTTTCAACACTTCTGAGGTTCTCTGTGTAGGCGATGATTTTTGCTATGTTTTCTTTCCGTCTGGGCAGCTAAAGCTATCTGAGGCACGCACCCAGACCTTTTGACTGTTTCCTCTGGACAATGGAGCAGGAGCTGCATTTTTGTCAGACAGCCAGATCCTCAACAACGCTGTTAACATCTCGGGGGAGCCATTTCACAGACTACTGAATCACTCGTGCTGCTAGAGAGTATGGTAATGACTGTACGGAGTACCAGCCTATGTTGGAGAATTGACCCCGGATCGACCCCGCGGCGTCTCTAACAGGGGTACGGAGTGTGTACTCCACAATCATGCACCTCCTGAGTACACCTCCCACAAGATAAGATATTTGCGGCAAGGGGTTGAGAATGGCTGATAAGGGTGAAGCATTTGTTGCGGTGCTGGGCAGGGGGTTTGGGTTTCATTGTACCTTGGTTACCCGATCTGGATAGGCCAAGGGGGCCGGAGGCTTGCGGACACAAACTAGGGCCTTAATTAAAATTCGGGTGTGGGGCTCACTAACCCGCTTAGGTAGGAAGGCTTGCCCCTGCCACCCAAAATGTCTCTTGGTCACCGCTAGCAAGGCCTGGAGGCCCCACATACTTACTACAAGGGGAGACATACTACGTACCGTAGTAGATACCGGTAGGCTGGCATTAAGCTTAGCCTCAGCTTGTCATAATACGTCGTTACCCGGTTTCATTGGACACAATGGATTCCTTAGCATCAGCTATTGTGACGGAGTTGAGATGTCCACACTGTACTCCGTAGAGCCTTGAAAGTCGCCAGATAAAGTAAGAGGATCTATAGAATTCTCTATATTCGTTCAATGGCCACCATCCGACTTAACATCAGTTATGCCTGCTTATGTGATATGTAAAAAAGCTTAGTTGATACAAGTTTACTCGTGCTGAGCAGACAATATTTATGTGTAACTAGGACACGATTCACGCTTATGCCAGATTTTACGATACACGCAGGCTATCGTCAGTCATTACCCGAGGCGATCATCACTACGATTATATTTTGAGAGCTGACACTCTACAATTATGATGCATGACATCCGCTGCGTCAATGTGTAACGGTGCAAGTGGACCCAAATTCTCCTAGAGTTGTCGCTACATCCCTCGCAGAATCATATGAAACCTGAACACTAATACATATAGTACTCATCTAGTCTCTTTTTCTCTATTCGAAGAACACAAGTCCTAAGATTCTTGGGAAGAAGAAAAAGCTAAGAATGGGGCGTCCCGATCCTCAATATCTGCCAGCCGACCTCAAACGCTTCATGCGTAAGCCTCAATTTGCAATTTGTTTATGTCACTTAGAAGTCAGAATCTAACTCATACTGATAGTAAATAATGAGCAAATGGAGATTATCTGCCAAGTGGCACGCAACCATGCAGCGGAGCACCATTTCCTGCTGTTCGAGTACTGGATCCGAGGAGATTCCAGCTTTGTCTCTCTAATCGAGTTACGACGACAGCGATACCTACAAGTGCCGACAGTCATCAATGATACTTTCTACTATCACCAGAAGGAAGCAGAGCGGTTGAGAATCGCGACTACACGCGTTCGTCAGCACGGACGCCTTCCCCCACACGGTCCTCAGCTGTTGAAGGGAGACACCCCGCCAAGGCGGGACGCTGTGATGATGGCGTTGGCTGTAAGGGCGATCGAGGTATATAGGGGCACTGCGGAAGCCCAGGCTAAGACGTTCGCCGCAGAATTTCTCAGATATGCTCGACAACATGAGCTGACTGGGGCTGTACAAACTCGGAATCCTAGTAATCAAACACGAGATACAGCCTCAGAAACCCAGGATCGACTCTCCGCTCTATTGCAAAATACAGCAATCATGGCCCGAGCTCGAGCTCCATCCGGCCGGAAGAATTTGGCCTCAACAGTGGAAGCTGGGTCTGCTGCCTCGCGACAAGACACTGCAATGACCGCCCAAGACCAGGCTTTTGCTGGATATCCTACCTCAATGAACCCAAATCGATCTGTAGACCTGTTTTCGAACTCATATGCGGCTGCCCAAGCTCAATTCGATACCAGCTATCATGCCTCAAATGCCGAACCTCGGACGGTGGAATCGAAAAGAAGGAAGCCATGTGTAGCACAGCGTACAAGGCAAGAGGCTACAGCGCCAGCGCCAGCGCCAGCGCCAGCGCCAGCGCCAGCGCCAACACCAAGGAGCTTGGGACCTCTGAATCGACGAAGAATCTGTCATTTCGAAAACACGCGCGAAAGACCAAGCCCCAACCCGCCAGCCGGGGTTGAGAGCGCCCTAAACGTCAACAGGTTACAGTCAATAGCAGCATCATCATCAAGATGCTGAAAGTTATCGTTCATCGCTAAAGGGCCGGTCGCACTGTGCGACCACATCCAGGCGCAAGAATACCAGTACCCCCAGACGTCACGAAGCAGATAAAAGACATCGCTCACCAAGCAGTCTCTGATTTATGCTCCGCCCATCACTTGAGATGTAGAAAGCGTCCAAACGTCGTGCTAAAGTATCTGTGTTAAGGAAGAAAGGCGTAGGAACGAGGAAATATCCTGACCATGTTTTAGGAGCAAATAAACATCATAAAATTTCACATACGATTTGGTCTGTAACACTTTCACAGTTCGAGGCCAAGTGCAAAAGAGCATCAACGCCGACACGCCAGAGGACGAGTAAAATGTGTATCCCTCCACCACCACTTCATTACAACCCGGCGCAGATACAGTATCATCTTGAGGCCGGAATCATATTTTTGCCGCCTCGAAGTAGTGGGTATCGCCGATCCACAGGTTCCAAGCCCTTGGATTCGAAAAGGCTTGTACCCTAACAGCTCTCATATCGAGCTAGTCCAGAGCTGATTGCCAAACACTGTGTTTGTCATCCCAATGTCCTGTCCGAGTAAATAAACGCACGAACTCTCACCTCGATAATCCCAGCCGAACCGAAACCAGCTACACCTACCTTCTCTGGCGCAGCAGCAGCAGCAGCAGCAGCAGCAGTAGTTCAGTCATATAAATCTCCCGCATACCTCGTATTCTCATGTTGTTGTGTTGGTGGTGGGCAGCACCATCCGCTCCAGCTTTACTGTAACTCACTTATTTAACCGTGCATTGCCAGATTTCTGACCGATTTCGTCTCCACTCACCGTACAGTCGAGCAGTCCGGTAGCGACCTCACTCTAACCTTTTTTTCGTTTTCCTTCTCTCAACAGCTCCTTAAGCTTCCGAGCAATCAGTCAGATCTTTACTAGTAAGTTTAGATAGAGTAGCCGGTGTTGAAACACCGAACCGGTTTGGGGTGTGGATGGCTGTCGAAACGTCCTAACACTCATCGGGGAAGATGACTACTAACTAGTATGTAGTACTTACTCTAGCTGAGGTGGGTGGATTTACGAAGAGACAAGGAAACCCCAAGAAACAAAACACCCTGAGTAGTGAAACAGAGAGTAGACATGTATTTCTCAGACCATAACCCCTTATGTTCGTGGGTGTTTATTACTCAAACTTCTGTAAGACTCTACTCTATATCAATCTGGACCCCCGGTCTTAATCTGATATTGCTTGTGGGGATCTCGAAGGAGAGACAGAGAAAGGGTGGTCATGGCATGCTGGTCCGGAGGAGCAGTCGTAGATAACGCCTCCCTTCTGAACTTCATCGGTACGTTTCTAGTCCATCCATCCATCCATTCATTTACGCATATTTTGTGAACACGATGGAAACGTCGCCCTCTCCAATAAGCAATAAGCAACAACCCCCGAGAAAACCCCCTCCCAGTACTACGTCCTTGATACTAACTTACCTATTTTCTAACCGCCCAGCAGACTCCCAAGACCAAAACGCCATAACCATCTCCGTCGGCTCCGGCACCGCCAGCAACGTCGACTTCCTCCTCTTCGAACACTGGCTCAGCTTCGACCCCACCTTTCCCGAGCGCGTCGAGACCTGCCGGAATCAGTACCTACAGCTGTCATGGGGACAGGATACGAGATTCGCGGACCGGTTAGCAGTTGCATGCCTGCGAGCAAGGCTGGGGAGACGATTGCCGCCGGAAGGACCGCCGCTGTTGCAGAACGATGCGCGGCCAACGGCGTCGGCGCTGCTGAGAACGACGGTCAAAGCTATTGCGGCGGCGAAGAGTAGGGCTGTCAGGCAGGCGGCAGAGACGAAGGCGAGGGTTGAAGCTCAGGAGGCGGAGACGAGGCTGGCTGCGGCCGCGAGGGCGCAGAGAACTGCCTCACGGGGACAAGATCAGAGCCAAGCTTCAAGTCAGAGTGGTGCAAGCGGCGGGGCGGTAAGGCGGCACGGGGTGCAGCAGAGTGGAAGTGGTGGACGAAGAGGTGGAGGACAGGAAAGTAGAGGAAGTGGGGGCGCGGGCCATGAAGATGCAGGTCGGTCAGAGAATAAGTAGATATAGCCTGAAGTAGTAGGATTGTCTTCGAGGAAGGAATCCGACGGCGGACAGACCATAGCTGCGAAGGCCCCGGTTTCGTTATCGCTGACGATTGCTTGGATGGAAGCAAAACACAGGAATACTTAGTCATGCATGCTAGCAATGTTCTCCTTGCTCTCCACAATCCCACTCTGCCACCTACTCCAGCATTTCTCGTAGGGTTCTTTTACGGCCTGCTTATTGAAAGCCCGCTCGAGTCGAGCTGTCTGATCCCATCCGCGCCGGTTGTGCTGACAGTGAAGAAGCAATCACCTCCGCTACCTCCACTGCATCTTTAATCGCATGGTTCGCTCCATCACCACCCAGAAACGGCATTGGGTGAGCGCTGTCCCCTATCATGATGATCCCGGTCTCATCAAGGACTTTGTACAGATCGGCTGTACCGACATGCATGGTTCGCATAAGCCATTGCAGAACTCGCTCAGCCCAACTTCTCGCTGGGTCAAAGGTGCTGGAGAATGGATCTGGGAGTTCTGTTGTGGTAAAGAGAAGCTGCAGCTCTGGTAAAATGCATCTGGAATGTCCGTCGCATAGGGACCCACCCTAGTTAGTATTTAATCAGTAATGTGCATTCGGACCGCCAGTGTGAAGAAGTGGATGGATGGAATTCTATCTATCTGCCGAATCTATCTAGGGAGGAGCAGGCTAATCTACTACTAGTAACTTAGGGCGCGCAGGCACGTGACGCCAAGGATTTGGCTGTCCGCGTACGGGCCAATTCCAACACAAACAAAGCAATCCCGAATGTTCTGTTATGCTTCCACGTGCCTAACATCAGAACTGACACTTCTGATTCGGGGATGGCGAAGGTCATCAAGTACCTTGTATGCTACCTTGTATGCAAGGGAGTTGAACGGAATGACGTTGGTCAAACTCCGTTGTTATTAGCGGCGCCCACCCTCGGGGTGATATCATGTAATTGGATGGAGACACCGATGTTGGTGAAGGCAGATGCTGCCTGCGTGGACGAGCTGGGAAGAGGTACACTTCACTCTGCCCCTTTGCTGGAGAGTGCGCTTTGTCGATGCCATGAGTCCTTGCCCAGGATATCTGGAGACACTCTCTCTCGCCATGGTGGAAACAGGAAGCACACATGCCCACTACATCTTACGCGATAATGAACAGAGTTGCGATGTTCATTGGTTACGGGACGTGAATCTGACTCCGAAGAAGATGAAGAACAGCCAGAACAGATATTGGTTGGACGAAGAGCATAGATGTGACGAAGGTAACGATCAAATCTCAATAGACGAAGAAGATGGATATGACGAACACGAAGATCAGATTTCACTGTATGAGAAGTATGATTGAAATTCTTGATCCAGAAGGACAAACCTGGGAGGCCAGTGATCTTGACCTTGAAGGCTATTCAACTACTAGGGTGTTTTGCCCAACCAATCCGTCCGCTATATCCCAGACTGCTTCTGTTGCTCTACTACTGGGGGAGGTATACTACTATAGTACACAAGTATTGTTAGTCTAGAGCTAGGAGCGACTAGTATTTGTTATCTCGTCAAACTGCTGCAATTTGTTTTGCCAAAGCTTGACTAATGACCATCCATTCAGATATGTCAAGAAATTACGACTAGTTCATCTTGTACTTAGCTTGAATCTTCCTATTACTACGTATTTTTTACACCAAGGATTCTAACTTAGCGTTGAGCTAACAATACTTCATGGAACCCCTCGTAACTTAGTATGCAGGATGCGATCCAAATCTACAAGATGCGTACGGGCTGGCTCTCAGCGAGTTTGTGAGTGGAAAGCGTGCATGGCCTGTATGGAGCGAGCACTCACAGACTCTGGGTGGATCTACGACGTTGGGACCAAGCAGTGCATTAAAAGTGTTGAAGAGCATTGAGGAGAGGGATATACGATCTGTAGAAATCTGGTGCATGGAATTTATTGGAGATTATATAATTAGCAAACGACACTAGGAGATCCGTTCGGTATATATAGCGACCTCGTATATAGCTCCCTTGCCCTGAAACCAGGTCAAACGAGTCATACTTCCCTGAAACGAACGACAGCAACATGTGAGATTGGAGACCGACACATACAAGCCAAAGTGCGATCTATCTACCTACAGCTTCGGCTCAATCTGCATTCGAGAATAAACCAATTTCAAGATGCACTGTACGTCCTTTTCCCTTCGTGCTGTGCCAACTTTAACACCATTTCATTAATCAACTCTGTCCTCCAAAGACTGAATGTACTTCAGCTTCCAGCATTCAGTCCAGGGTTGAGGAATATGCGAGCTGACTCCCCCCCCCACGATCCATGCTATTCGGATTGTATCTATCGTTCAAGGTCAGGAATTGGTACAGGTTTCCGTGAGATCTGGGAACTTCAGTTGTCGGGTTGATTGTCAGGCGGAATGCTTGGAACACTCTGCTGCGATACCGTCTTGACTGCATCGTTGTCTGTCCTGTGGATGGGCAGAGATGGATCTGCGGCACTGGAAAGGAAGGGTATTGAAACTCCGCCTCTCAAAGTGTTTGTCAATCCAGACGACAAAGGGTTCAAAGACATGCCGGCTCCAGAGGACATCTTGGTCTTTTGGTAAGGCTTAGCAATATCATAAGGTTCGGCCAGCACACCAAACAGGGCGACCTTGAGCCATGACCGGGAGGCAACACGTCGCTCATTGATGAATATCTGACCATTGATCTCGACTTGAAATGGCGATCCGTCGTTTGATTTCAAACTCAAAATCTCGGCGATAGCTTGGTATGCTTCTTCCTTAGTACCTGAGATGATGTGAATCATTGGCTCGGTGCCTGCGACGTTGCTGACAATCCAGCTGGCTATAGCGCGACCGAAAATCCCAGCTGCTAATGTGAGTGTTAGAACTACCACAGCCATGATTAGAGACAGAAGGGTCGCGGAGGCAAAGACTGCGGTGCCCATGACAAAGACTGCCACACTGAACACTCTGCTGAGACGTTTCCCAATCTGTTCCCACTTCTGCTGACCAACAATCGAGACCATCACGATGACAGAATTCCTGGCAGGCGTCTGAAGACTTGAACCAAAAAAGTTCATTGACGCCGGCCTCAAAGTTTTTAGCTGTTTTAGAGCATTTTCGGTTGCTGTACTGGTGCTGAAATAGTCACTGATAGGCTGACCGCCCAGAATCTCGACATCATAGGACAAGCTTGATAGGTATAGCTTGTATGTCTTATTGAATGGCCTATGGGCCCTATCTTCGGCAAATGCGGCGAGTGTCACTTCGAGAGTCAGCCTTCCCTCCCTGAATCCCACTCTTGTTTAAGGTGATTAAGGCATAGCGCTTACCTAAGAAGTACCACATGTGCATCCAGTACCGAGCTGAGCAAAGGAAATTGATGACGCCGCCCTGTTCAACGACGGCCATCGCAGCTTGTGCCATGGAGAAGAGGATAAACATGACGACTAGTCCAAGGATTAGGGTCTTTTTTGGCGGTCGGACGCTCTCGAGTCGATCGATACGTTCTCTTATCTTATTGCTCAGCTCTTGTAGCCTTTCATCTATGTTCGGTACATCTTTCTGGCTTCCGGGAGGGTGCCTGCGTAGACTGATGATGCTTCCGATTGCAGTGTTCCCCTTTGCCACGGCGTTTTCGTAGTCTTCGACATTAACGGGCATGAGGGCACCACCAAAGGACAGGCTCATGGCCAGTGCACCACCGAATGGCACGATGGACTTGAGCCGCCAGATCTCACTGGTAGGAGGCCCGAACAATGCGCCAATTGTCGGCAGGAGACTCAGAACACTTGCAGCACTCGCATATTCGGCCTCCCTGATTTTGGCGAGAGAATCAAGAATAGCCTCCAAGATTCGGCTGCATTCTCTATGGCCCCTTTCGCGAATGCACCCACCCCTAGTCACCCAAGCAGGGAGATCGAAGCGGTACTCTCTATCAGTATCTGATGGGAGCGGGCAGTCCTTATTGGGAGCGTGTTCGTGTTCGGCTTGAACAGATGGTAGAGAGCTTATCAGCCATAATGCAACGAGCATCACAGTGATACGTTCGCAATTGCGATACGATTTATTAGGTTGCCACATCCTAATGAATAGTAAGCTGTGTAGAACAAGCGTTGAGCGGTGACTTCGTAGAACGGGGGATGGAGAGAGTTATGATTTAGAGTGCTTTACAAGCTGATCAGGCTGAGAGCACTTCACCAACTCCCAAGCCCATAGTTGATCCTTGCCGAAACTGGCGCTGCACAGGGGCCAAAATGCAATGTAGCGTTGTTCAGTTCCTATTCGCAGTTCCTGCCCCAGAAGAACGATTGAGCTACACAAACAACTCTGGTTCACAGTCGTGGCTTGGTATGTAGTGGTGTGGTTGAGTCGCAGAAGCACATCCAGTGGTAATTTGTACATGATCCATTGGATGTCATGACCGCCTCTGTCGACACGGTGGCGGTGGCAGAAGCATCTCCTTGTCATGTATGTCTTGAGCAGCTCCCTTTGTAGAATGGATTGGTCGAGTTACATGCAGACGGCATCTCTGCCTCGTAAGGCCCCAGCATTAGGTGAGCTATAGGACCAAACCAATAGACCTGTGGCCAGCTTCTGCACAGTCTCGATATCAGCTAGGTTCTCCTCAGACGACAAGGCAATCCGATTCGTGCCACGAAAGCCACACGCAGAAAGCCTCTGGGAGTCGATGCAGTGGACTCCAGCCTTATCAATATTGGTTTGCCATTTGGAACCAGATCTGTTGTAGTCCCCTGAAAAAAGAGTGTAGGCTTCGGGAAGGATTCTCATTTTGAATAAGCTCATTTCTACTCCGTAGCTTCTATCCATTGACGCTTGTTCTGTAGTGTAGTGAAATGGAACCATGAGGTAGTCAATCCATTTCTATGCGAGTTTATCGCCAGTGTCAGTGAATGTGGCTCCTTCCTTGTTGGGAGTAGTAATCTGTTGACCTTCTGAGATTGCCTATTGGCCAGGTTTTGTACAGGTAGCCCTGCGTTTCGCCTGCTTTTGATTGGTCTTGGTCCATTTCTACTGCAGTGTCGCTTCTACTACGGTAATCTCGCTGTACGGCACAGCCAATTGTACATAGATCTACGCTCTCTACCCCAACTAGCTATCGAACAACTTGCTACTTCTACGTAGTACATACTCTGCACAGCAGGTTGACGTACTCCCGCTGTGGGGCAATAGTTATCAGAATCTACTACGGTAGCAGGCATAAATATTGTCACTCTTGCGCTAGTACTTTTGGCCAAAAATAGTGGCCGAACAGCCACGATCAACAGTGCTAATCCTTGAATGTATTAGTCATAACCAAACAACTAATTTCAATGGCTGTTTGAACGGATAAGTTTGTTGAAAGCCAATGAAGATATTTGCGGCGTTGTACTTATCAGAACTAGTTGCTACCAGCCCTGTACATAGTACTGACAATATTTATGCCTGCTCCCGTAGTAAATACAAAGTTCGGGATGAAATAAATCCGCAGGCGCCAAGGCCCCACACCGGGCGTTTAGCGTTCAAGTTCAAGGTTGTAAAAGTTCTGCAGCAGTCTTGGCACAAGGAACACCAAAATTTTCGGAGTATAATTCTATATCACATTTTCTCTATCAAACAATGAGATTCTTGAAATTTAAGGTGTAGAAAGGGTCAGTATCTTAAGGTCTATTGAGTGATATTGGTTATAATAAGAAACCCGGTAAACAGAGTGATGCAGCCGATAAAGTGCTTGGAAGCAAAACAACTGTACTATCCCTGTGTCACTAAATGGGTGACCCTAGTTGAGCGCCATCTCAGTGCGAGCCCAATAGAACAATCCTTGATCCAGAAGACCCAGAATCCAGAACCCGCGCAGTACGATGCAGAAGAACCGCAGTCACGCAACGACCTAGTATCCTGCGCAGCTTCTACATTGTTCTGACTCCAGCCTGATACCGTAGTACTTCTGCCTGGTACCGTAGTAATTTACAACTAAGAAGGGACACGGTTGCCCTTGCAGTGTTGTGTGCTTGACTTGACAGGTTCGCCAAGAGGTTGGCATTTCTTCCGCTCCGATTGGTCTTCAGGTTTCTGATCCAAGAGGCCCAGATAATGGCGGTGACACTGCCCAAGACGAACTCGTGGTTTTTAGATCATAGTTGACTACTCCGTATAGCCATTGCGATTGGATTCATGATTGCGCACCCTGTCAGATGCGGCTGTCATGATCTCCCGCTCGCTGCAGTCCAGCTTGCTATCTTGAATTACGGTCCACGCACTCTCTGTCTGCGGATACCCGCTCTGCACTTCTGGGACGATGAGCTTTGCCCGAGACCACAATACAGGGCTTACACGATACCGAAGCAATAGCAGATCGTGCATGGACACTTTCGAAGACCCCAGCAGAACCAGACTTTTGATGGACGAGGAGGAAAGCTATTCACGCGACTTCCACCGGCGACTGGTCGAGTCGGCTTCTCCCATTCCTCAGTATACCCCTCGCAGACCTCTGATCGAACAATGCACCAATGAATGGCAACAGCACACTCAATGGAAGAGCCGGCGGAACAGTTCTCCGGATGGCTTCGACGACGCGCTCGAGTCCTTCTTTGACCGCTGCCTTGCGATACTCAAGGCACCCAAGATCCGTCGGTATCTTCTTCTGTACACAGTCATCTTGATATTCTCGATCTGGCTGTGGTCATCGATGATATGGCCCGTTTGGGCAGAGCAGCGCATGCTGGCTCGCTCGCTTTCAGCAGAAAATAGGAGGGCGTCTGGAGGGTTGTTTGGGTCCAACCTTCGTCCAACCTTTCCAAACATGATACAGGTGAAGGACTTGGATACCAAGTTCGTCCCCAAGGCTACTGCGTCAAAGGATGCAAGGGCAGATAATGTCAACCGCCTCATATTTGTTGGTGATGTTCACGGCTGTCTTGACGAACTGAAGGCTCTCTTAGCAAAAGTGAATTTCAACACCAAGACAGATCATCTGATAGCTGTGGGTGACGTTATCGCCAAAGGGCCCGACTCAGGTGGCACCGTGGATTTTCTACGAGAGACAGGTGCTTCCTGTGTGCGAGGCAACCACGAAGACCGCATCCTCCTCATGGCACACGACGCGAACTCATCGCCACTGAAAGTCGAAACCCCAGCCTCGCAGTCCTCGTCCGATTCCTCCCCCGCCCGAACCCTCGCCGCCTCCCTCACCGCCTCCCAAATCGCCTACCTAGAAAGCTGTCCCCTCATCCTCCGCGTCGGCTTCCTCAAGCCGCTAGCCAGCGACCTGGTCGTCGTTCATGCCGGGCTCGTCCCCGGCATCCCCTTGGACCGCCAAGATCCCACCTCGGTCATGAACATGCGCAGCATCCACCTCAACACCCACGTTCCCTCCAAGGAACCCAACCCGGAGGGCAGCGTCCACTGGGTCAAGCTGTGGAACAAATACCAGCAGTCGCTACCAGCCCAGTGGTCCTTCTTCCCGTCAGGCATTTTCGGGGCGCAGAGTGCCAAGGAGAAACGTACTACGGTTATATACGGTCATGACGCCCCGAGGGGCCTGCAGCTCAAGCAGTACTCGAAGGGTATCGATACGGGCTGCGTGAAGGGAGGGAAGCTGACGGCGTTGGTGTTGAGTGCCAATGGGAGTTGGCAGACGGTGCAGGTACAATGTAAGGATTATCGGAAGCGGAGGCCGCTGGATGTCGAGGTGGAGGATGTGTTGAGGGATGGAAAACTGAGCAAGCCAGACGACGAACAGGAGGAGTGACAGACATTTGCGTAACTCTGGAATTGGAAACGGCCCTTTTTTGGGCTGCAGAGTTTGTATTCCGCCAATTATTCAGCTCTCTAGGGGATCGGTTCCCAGGCTCGTGAATGCAAAGCCAACCAAGTACACCTCTGCCTCTCCATCTCCAGCTAAAGAAAAACCCACTTTGAACACAGACCGACGACGACACGCGAACGACGACGCACATCCAACACCCTTCTCCCTCCCCTCCCCTACACAACTTCCTACCCCA